CTCCCAGTAATGGCAGGTTTTGAGATTTTAGCTTTTAGGGTTTAGCTAAGGTGTTCAAGGAAGAAAAGGGTAGGGAAGAAAATAGGGAAACATTGAGAGTGTAGGAGACACAAGAAGCTTAGGGATGAAGCTTCTGGTGATAACTGAAAGGTGAAAGTTTGCACTTCCAAAATCGGGTCTGTTGTGCTGTTGCRCATTTCACTTCACTGAATTCTGTGCCCACCTTGTCAGTTTCTGTCTTTCATGCCACGGGATGGTGAAACATTTATTACAAAGTTCTTACTTGAAAACAAAACGCTCTGCTGAAACGAGTGCATTCTAAGAGTTTCCACATTCAATGTGGGGTCATCAATAAATGCAAAACAGGTGTTTGTAAACTAACATTCTTGCTTTCTAGTAACTCCTCTGTGAATAAAAGTCTTCAAAGAGATTTGGAGCAAGGACTGAAACGTATTTTTTAGGCCCTTRTGATTGGTTTCCTTTGTAATGAGCCACCTTTGTAAGCAGTTCCTGATGTATAAAGGTTGAAATAAAAAAGTTGTTTTTTAAAATGTCTCTGGCTATTTAATTAGACAGTCACACACTTCCAGTTAGTTATAATACTTTGGCAATTTGCCTTTGCCATATAATTTCACCAATAGACATTAAATATTATATTTATATGCAGTGATGTAAAATGAACAGCATTATTGAGGGGAGCGAAATGATTTTTTGTGCTCTTTATTACAAAAGAGCATGTCTTGATAGGGATGCTATCCTTCATCTCTTATCTATGGGTAAAAATACAAAAATTTCACATCTTTAGCTGTAAATTGCTTCCAATATCCTAAGAAAAAATGTCTGTTTTTCTCTAACAGGCTGCTGGAACCCCTTTCCAGATTCTGTTTGTCAGATTTGTCCTGTCAGGAATAGTTCAGCTGATCACAGTTGAAGAAGCTTTTGATGTGCACTGTATGCATCGTCTTAGTCAGTGTTTATCTGCTACTGATCTSCTGTCCATTAGTCTCAGGGACTACAGTAAACATGCTTATTGAAATGTTACTAGTTTGGATAACAGTTAAACTTCCTGCCAGATCATGAAGATTCCTGCTATGTTGCAGGAAGAAGCAGGTATCTTTGCTTACATTATAGAAAACCAATTTTTGTCCCTTTATATGGGAGTGCAGTTTATTAATTTAAAAATCCAGACTAATATTTAAAATTATTGTAAAGTCTTTGTAAGCAACAAAGATGAAAAATATAAGAAAACAATGTGTTAATACTGAGTATAAGGCTAAGACTTGTATATAATTAGTCGTACAATGATGAAAAACATTATTTTAAACAGGATCTAAGACCACCTACTTTAAACTATGCTTTGTTTTCCTTTAAAATAGAAGGAAGGTAGTGTAAACTTCAAAGTGTGATGTGTACTGCTTCTGGTAGATTTTTATARAGAATTTTAAATGCTTGATGGAATATTCTGGTTTTTTTTTTTCTTTGAAACTTGAAAGCAATTAATATATTAGAATTCGCTTGCAATGCAGACTGAGCCTGATATGTTAGAAACTGGTTTCTGGATGGGATTAGTAATTGTTTCATGCCACAGTCTGCATTACTGATGTTTTAAAACCGTTTAAAACAGAAAAAAACATAAATATCATATTACTCAGTATTTTTTCCATATATTTATTAAAAAGTTTGATGTATTCATGTCGACATGGTATGCAGTACAGGAAATAAAAACYCTGTGCAATTCAGGTTGTCTGAGGATTCATGAGTGTGCTGCGAAGTTGTACTAGTGACAACCTAGTCTGAAATCCAGGAGTTCCTTGGCATGTCTGRTCTTGAGCTGTGCACAAGCCCACATGWATTGGCACAGCTCAGTGTGACTGTGCCATCGCTGACCCTGTGGGCTCAAATGACTGCAGCTGACCTTCTCCTGCCCGTTCAGTGATCCCCATGGTTGTGTCTACTGAGGATTCTTAATCTTGTAATGTCTGAATTGTGATACTAATGTGCTACATTTTGCCTTTACTCATCTTTCTCRTTGAAGTTTTATGCCAAGATAGCTAGTGTATATTTTAAAATTACTCATATACTTTGTTATTTTTGTTTTGGTTTTTTAGGCTATGGTTCGATCTTTATATTTGGGTGTTGTTTTAAGTCACTGTTTGGTTACAGAGGTTGTCAAAAAGAAGTGGGCTTGAATTTACCCGGGAAAAGCATTTTGCTGTGCTTCAGAGTAGTGGTTGCATTTTATGCCAAATTTTCAGACTTCACTCCATCTTGCTAAAGTTTTAAATTAAGCAGTCATTTGTATTAAGAGTCAGAACATACACTATTATAGATAGAAAATCTATATAAATTCTAGAATTTTCTATATATATAATCTYAATTCTGTTTGTCATGTCATGGACAAGTATAGTACTTACTGTTGTTTTTCTAATTAAACATAAATAATCTAAAAAATACACCCCTCTCTTTGTACTGCATATTGCGAAACATGAGGAATAACTTTATTAGATTTTCTGCTGCACTGATGCTCTTTTTGAAGCTTTTRCTAACTTAGTGAAGCACTGCAGATGAAAAATCCTGATAAAATAGTAGAAATAAATACATTTTTTATAGTGTTCTGCAGTCAGTGAGAAATTAAGCTAAAAATTAGGAACTATTTTTTTTTCCAAAATGAAAAACGTTCTTTCTGGGTAAAATTTCTATGAAGTGCATTCAGCGGGAGTAAAAGTACTTGGGTTTTTTGGTTGTTATTTGATTTTGTTGTTTGTTTGATTTTTTTTTTTCCAGTGGTAGGTTTACTGTGACAGATGGCTCTGGTTACAAAAATACTTCAGGGCTTTCATAAAGTGAATTAATTCTGACTGTATTCCCATCTTTAGGAAGAGATTACAATGAATATGTTGCCAGTACCTATGCATKATTTAATCTTCCTTGGTGTGTGAGCTGTTCTGAAGCTTATTCTTACATGAACCAGATAGACTTTACATACTGGAGACTCTATGGGTGGCCCTACTTTACAAAAGAGGAACTTTCTTTTTCCTATTTTATTATTGTTATTTTATTGCATATACATATATATATATATATGTAAAACCAGAATACTTTAATTAGATAAGATCTTCTTATAGAAAATTATGGTGAAAAACTTGGTGAAAACATTTTCCCCAGAGCTGTTAGACTTTGGTGAATTTCAGTAGATATTTAATTTGTATGTAAAGAAAAAGGCAATAAGTGGTAACTAACAAGAAAAAAAAATGTCAAAAGGTTTTAGGTGTAACATAGCTCCTTATGATTCTAATCTGAATTGGTACTGGCATAGGATATATAACTTCTCTGAGCAGAAATACTCATGTTAACCCATAAAATACTGAATTGTGTGCAGCTTGGCTACCATCAGCAAGAGTACTCTTAAATCTATTCGGTACAATACCCTTGGAGGTATATGAGCTAGAAATATGCTTCTCTGCATCATTTGACAGGATACCATTTGATATTTTCATGCCTTTATTCTGGACAAAAAAAATGATTTTTAAAAAATCAGCAAAATTTATTCTCCTCAAAGGTTGTGGAATGTTCTGTAAAACAGTGCCTCAAAAGGAGTTTGATTTACATTTAATTTGATTTAATGTGGTTAACTTAAAACATGTGAGACTAAATTCCAGMGCCTCAGTCAGGTGGGTAGTAGTCTTTCTCTGCCTCTTCCATATCTCAGTGTAAGTCCTGAGAAGAAACCGAAGTRGCTATCAGCCAGTTGAAATAATTGAACTTCGAGTTCAGATGGGCTTGGCATCCCATAGTTTCAGAAACAGAACCTGGGGAGCCGAGATTTACTCCTTCTTGAATCACTCAACTAATATAATGTCTTCCTTTTGTGGCCTCAATTGTGTAAGTAAGAGTGTAGGTGGGAGCGTGCCTGCAGGGCATCCTGCCTGCCTCTGCCTGACCCTATCTTGTATCTGTTCTGTTTGTAAACTGACCTGTTGCCATGGCAATGTTTGACATCACCTGTTCAATGTTGCACCTTCAGTGCAGGGTTTGGTAGGAGAGAAAGGGAGCCGAAGAGATCCAAGCTCTTGTTTTAAAACTCACACCTTCCGTTATGACTAAGTGTGCCAAGAAATATCGAAAAGGAACTGTCAGGTAATTGCATTTTTATATAGCAGATATAAAGCAAATTTGRAAGCTTTTATATAGCAGATTTGGAAGCTTTCTGTATGAAGTTTAAACTCTTAGTTTAAATTGAGGGTCAGCAAGTTGCTTATTTTTCAATGAAATCTACCCTACTTTTAAACCTGTAAAATGAGAAAGAGTTGTTGTGACTCTTGAGCCATGAGCGGTTAGCAGGCAATTCAGGTGTAGATCCCAGATGGGAATAAGCATCTTGGAAAGTTCAAGAGGGCTGTTGCAGCCCATGGCTGCTGGGCAGCTTGAGGCTGGAGAGACCTGCTGGGTGCTGGGCTGCTCTGGAGCACTGTGCTCCCAGCCCCACTGCCAACACCACGTGGGACACTGGGACTGTGCTTGTCCCTCCCTGAGAACCATCTCCAGMACTGCCTCTCCTTGAAGCTTTCCAAAATACTTGTTTTGGAGCTCCTGGCTGTATGAATGAATATTTTAATACAGGGGAATGAAAAAGGGACTTCAGTTTGACAGTTACGTTTATATTTCCTGTCTGCTCTAAATATAAAATAGTTTGGAATTACTCTCTATAGCTGCCTGATATACCTCCCTGTACTGCTTTATTTGAACATGTATTGTACTTACTTTTAGACTGATGACCATGGAAATGGTTGAACAGGATGACAGTGCAGTGGATTCTATGACGGAAAGAAGTGCTGGTCACCTTCAGAATCAGCCAGGCCAAAGTCAGATTTCCTCAGGATCTGAGGTAAGCTGAAACATGGAAAGATGGGAAAAATCAAGAAAGTGATAATCAGAGCTGCTATGATTTTCAAACTATTAATTTGTGTGACATTCTTGTATAAGGTATTAAATAGGAAAAATATAGCGAAGKTATACTGGAAAGTATGCTTGCAGTAGTTAACAAAGGACTAGTATGATACCAGGTCTATGAAAAGGTAACTTTTAGGAGTCCTTTTAGAGAAGAGTGATCAGTAGACACATGGATTTTTTCCTTTCACTTTCACAAGATGGTTGTTTGTGCAGAGATGGAAATACAACCTTAAAGAATTGAGGTGGTTACAAGATCAAATGTATCTAAACCACTATGTGTATCTGTAGATGTGTTTTGTAATACAAATGAAAACACAAATAAAGACAACCATGCTTCTCTCCTACTACCAGTTTTTGTACAGAATGTATTTCATTCAATTGCAAGTGTATTTTTAATGTATGCTTGTTTTGTTTCATCCCTGTGTATCCAATGACAGTGTCTGGACTTCTAAAAGCATACTTTACATGTTCTGTGTGGTTGCTCTACCTGGATTATTCTTTGGTAGTTAATGGATTAAAGGTTATATAGTAATCTTAAACATTAACAATCTTAAACATTAAAAATATGTGCTGAAACATTCAGCACTTGAGAGAAATAGTATTCCTGAYACTACTAAGATTTATAGCCTCAGAAATGTGTATGGAACACTTAAAAGGATCTTCAGAACACCTTTGTTAAATAAAAGAACTGATTTTAAAAAAAGTCTTACTGAACTTTTTCATCATTGGAAGTTAGAAGTTGTTTKCTAAGATTTGATGGCATGGATTTGGTGTGTTAGATACTTGATTTAAATTACAGAAGTATTTTTAAAACTGTAAGCAGCTGCTCTTTTTGACAGATCTTCAGATACAAAGTAGACTGCAAAATACTTAGCAACTTTTTTGTTGGTTTTGATACATGCAGCGTTGGGAATATTRTTTGTTTAGTTTTTTTCCTTTTCTTTAAGAATTTTATTTGGTTTGCTCTGTTGATGTTATCTCCTCATTTTTTCTTTTGTAGTTCTGTTCAAATTTTCTGTTCTAACTTCATAGGATGATTGATGTGTAAAATCTATTGGCTTGTGCAATAGTCTTTGGAGAAGATATCAGTGAATTCTGTCACCTGGGATTTTTAATGTTGATCCAAAGACAAGGCTGTCACTAATGATGTAGGAGAGCTTTTGCACTCACACAAACACTTCTTGTGTTTGTCTGCTTGACTAGTAGGTGTGAAGGTTCAGCTGTACTGGGTATGGGTCTAGTCCCTTTCAGTTAATAACTCTGAAATACTGATGAATCTCATTCAATTAGCAAAAACCCAAAACATGTACCTCTGAAGGCTGAGGGTAACAGTCCAGAGATGGCATCTGGACTCCCTTTTTGTGGTCAGACTGCTTAGAGAGCTGTGCTGGACCTGTGAGAGCTGCTCGGTGCAGGTAGCTGGAGCTGACATCCCTCCCCTGGTGTGCCCRGACCAGCGGGGTTGGTGCTGTTGTTCCACTCTGAGGGCTCCGGGGCTGCCAGGGCTCCAGGCCTTTGTCCCTCTCCTCAGCCTCTGGCTCCGGGGCCTGCAGCCCGCACACCCCTCGGTGCCCTCAGGCTGCACTGCCACAGCACTTGTTGTGGTAAAACAGCCYGGACAGAACACATCCCTGACAGACYTTGTTGAGASGCTCCTTTGGCTTAAGATGAATAGSATTTTCTTAGCCTGTATTCCCACTTGGCTGGCTTGGAAGGTGAGGCGCTTTGTCATGGAGAGCTGGGGCTCGGTGTTGAGGGGTTAAAGCCTGCTGCAGGCCCATGTGTGGGACATCTGACTGATTTTTGTGGTGGTCCAGATGGTAAATTCATGTTTGTGAGGAGTTAATGGCTGTTTTGCTGGTCCAGTGCCTGTGTATTTTGACTGTTACAGAGGGTCAGAGATCCCTTCTCCCTCTTTGGCCTGTGGAGGAGTGTAGTTAAGAAAAGAYGACCACTAAAATTGGCTGAAACTTATCTTGAGTCAACCTCCAGTCATCCCTCCTACTAATTTTGTTGCAAAGGTGCAGAAATAAGAGAAAAGAGTGACTTGATTCTTACCGAGAGCTAAAATGCCTGGTCACTGAAGCTGAAGGCTCCTTTTCAGGTATCTTGGCGGGGAGGGGGGTGTTTGTGTGTTTTCTGGCAAAATATCTGTTCAACCTTGGTTTTGTTCAGTGAAGTAAAAAATTTTAGTATACTACCTTTTAATTTGTGGTTTTCTGTGTATTACCAAAGATTTAATTGTAGAAGGGTTGCTCTTGRAAGGGACCTTTTGAGATTATCTAGTCTGACCTGCCTGTGCAAGCAGGGTCAGCCAGAACTCTGTTTACCTGGGTTATAAATATCTCCAAGGATGGAGTCTCTAGTACCTCTCTGGGCATCTGTGCCAGCAGGCAACTACTCTTTCAGTAAAAAAGGTGGAGTTTTTATGTCCAGATGGAATGTAATGGTTTTTAATGTGCTAGGTTTTTAGTTGAATTGTGACTTTGGCTAGGGAGTGACTAGCAAAATGCTGAGGGATACACCTACATAGGAGGTGAGCAYTTTTTTTGTGGGGGAACACACAGACATACACATCCCCTTTATTTTTCTCTCCTCTGTAGTTCAGTCTTTTTAAAGAAATGCCTGCCATTTAGTTTTAAATGATGGACCAGGTACTCCGTAAGATAATCTCTTGAGGGCAGAGATTGATTTGTGCTGAAGCATTTMTGATGTCTCCCCTGTTGGAATAGAGAGGAGGCATTAAGAATATGTGGGCTGAAGCACTATGGTGTGATGGGATAACCTCCAACTCTGTGAAGCACCTATTACACATTATCAGTGGAGAAAAAATAGTGTTTGCATTTTTTTTCTTAGCTTGTGTCATAGATACTGCCATATTCTCCAGCTGAAAGTAAAATGACTTTTTCTACTAAAGCAAAAATGAGTAAATGTGAAACTAGCAAAGRTGAAATGAACTTTGTGTCCATTAAAAAGTTATTTTTAAAATAAAATGTTCTATTATAGAATAAGATTGARTTTGTAATTACTTTTCTTGCATCCCTCACTTTCAGCCAGTTAATGAATTGACATAGTAATGTTTTTGTGATCCAACCACCAGAATAAATAGTTAAGAAAACATTAATTTGTAAAATTATTGGTGGTTGTGTTTAGAAGCTGTTGAAAATGTACAGAACATCTGTTCAAAAGCTTGRTGCCATTGAGGGAGGAGTAGAGGTGTGGGATGGAAAATTTATCARCCTGTTTTGTGATGAGCTCCATGGGTTGTCTTACATGCACAGATCATCTATTGTTATATATAGAGCTGTACTTAAAAGGAAKTTAATTTTTATTGGACTATTAGTGTTGATGATAGTCAAATTTACACCTTGGAACAGTTAGATCTGTTAGATAGTGGTATTCAAAGAGAAATTAGATGTTCCTTTTRCAGGATTTCTAGAAGCCATACTGCATTCTGTGTTGCTCTGTGCTCAGCTACACTAAATATGACTATAACAATGTAAGATCAATGTACTTAAACCTTTCACAGATTTGACAAAAGTACTTTCAGTTGTGTTTTCTTTTTTCTTTAATCCTGTGTCTTGATGGGKTCCTCTTTTATTCACTTTTAGTTAACTTTGTTATGTTGTCTATCAGTACAGCTGTCTGCTGTCCTTGTATGCCATACCATTCATTGACCTCTTGATGCTGTCCCTGAATTAGACGCATGTCAAGATTTACAATGTGAGAACTGCTGTCAGAGAGCACACGGAGATTTTGAGGGAGATTTTCAGAGCCTGGAGTGCGTAGCCATTGCAAACTGGCATTGCTCAAGTTTAGCACTTCAGGAGGCTTATCTTTGTGGTCTTTTGACATCAAACTGTGTTAAATCTTGCGCCCCACAGATTGAGWCCTTTGGGAGTTTTCTAGGTTGTTTTAAGTATGGCTCTAAAACCAGCCAGCCAAATGCARGTCCTGGCCATTTTGCAAAGTTGATGTTAGAGGATTATAAATGTGGAGCTTTGTCACCATTTTGTGCTTCCTCAAAGTGTATGCTGTCACCAAGCTGGAATCAGCCTAACCTTATTTTTCTTAAAAGCAGGTGCTTCTATTTTGGCATTAGCTTTGGAATTGACCAAAACWTTTGTCTCCAGCTTTTCCTTGTAGAGGCTGTTCAGTGCCTGAGTGTGGCAAGTCCTTTGTTCTTTTGTTAGGTGAATCAAGTGTGGATTTGCCTTGACTTTTCCAGAATTACTTTTCACTTCTAGAGTCCTTGTAATATTTAGATTCTACAGCAGGGGCAGAAATCAGATAGGCCCATGTACTGTGTCATTTGGCAGTGTTGAAGGTATGAGGGCTTGAATGTGAATGTAGCCTCTCTAATACTTAGCAGGGAAAGAATATSTGGCATTCACAGGATCCCCAGGATAACTGTTCAGATGGACCATATATCTTCTAGTTAGATAAATGATGGGTAGCYTCTTTCTCTGCAAGAGCGTGTGCCTCAGTATGAAGGTAGTACATGATTTTTCTTGCTGGTTGCTTTTCTCTCCCRTTGTAGAAGAGGGAGCACTTACATTTCCAAATACCTGAAATACAGGACCATTCTGCTGTTATGGACTGCATGGTTGATATTTGTTCAAACTRTTGGAYGTGACTTGCATGCCTAGGAGCATAGAACCCATAGAATGTGTTAAGCCTCCTCTCACCCTCTGTGTTCCTGAGTTGCTCCTGTGGATTGTTTTCAGTTCCTTCTGTGGATTGTTTTCCATGCCAGATAGCCCTTGAAGTAATGACGATAAAGGTAGCATTGCTCATCACTGATGTCAGAAAGAAATTTTTTTTTGCTGACTCTGTTTCAGTCAGCATTTATGCATGATAGCATCAAAATATCCAAGTATTTCAGTTAACACAGGAATATTCAGMTTGGTAACTGCAAAGGGAAAACTGAATCAAAATTCTAATTATAATTTCTAGTATTTATGGAAGTCATGCAGAATGTGAAGCTTGAAAAGTTTGTAGTACTACCATCTCCTCTTCCCTTAACACTTAGCCCCCCTTTATTTAATCTCTTGTCTGAATTAAGGGAACAAAAAGATTTCTCCTGTTRTACTGTAAACTTTAGTCCAAAGGAGTATTAGCTGAGTGAGGTTTTCTTTTTTTTTYTTATTTGGTTATGCTGAATAAGGAGCTTTAAAATTAATCTAGTTTTTTCTTAATCTTGGGTACTGGATTATTTCCTGATTGTGTGTGACTGACCTATTGTGTACCAAAAAGAAACTTTTGAAACTGTTTGCCTTGTTCTGTTTTATGTCCGCTGTACTTAGAAGGTTCTTTCTGACCCACCAACTATTGTATAAAATTGCAATTCTCACAAAGACAGCAGTAAATGGAAAGGTTTGGTGAAGTTGTCTTTATAATGTTTTAAAACTTAGCATGCTTTGTAAACATTTAGACTGCTCTGTGCTCTCTCCTTGAAGCTTGGGTTTAGGATGTCAGCTTTGCCACAAAAGATCATGTCCTTCAGATCTTTGAGATTTTCTAGAGCTTAATCTCAAATATCTRTTTCTGATAAATTTCTTGTAACATTAATATTTGTTGGAATAGTTTGGGAAGAAGGTTTATATGTCCTATTTCCCCGTTGCCATTTCATGCCATTTAAGGGATGATTTAAGGAACCCATTTCAGGGTTAGAAATGCCCTCAATTGTTCTATTTTCTGAAAAGCTGTTCATTTTCCTMTAACATTGAACAATTGCATGGTGAATGTTGACAAGATCCTGTCTTTGTTTCCTAGAAACATTGTTTCTTCAACATAATTTGAACCAACATCAGGTCTTTTTGATAGTAGTGCATCTTAATAGTAGTTAAATTTTTTCACTTGCTTCATGAAGGGATTATTTCCTAGATAAGCAATAGCTTATGGATCAGGAATTAAAACTTTCATATTTGGAATTAAAAAACTACTTCAGTGTAAATGTAGAAAAAACCACAAAAGTTTCTTTAATTTTATTTTTTTTAATATTCAGCATTCTTCATGTTTTTCTTCTCACTGTCATCTYATTTTATGTTTATTGCTCATACCAGATACCTGTGGAGCTGAGAACAAAGCTAGGGAGGGAATAGTACCAGAATTTTATATATGAGTCTGAGTTTATTGTTGAATGTGCAGCATATAGAAATAAGACTTTTCAGTGCAGTTTAGTTGAAAAACACAGTATTTCTTTTTATTATATAGTTCATGTTTGTCTTCCTTTTCTGAGTTTGGAGATGTTTCATCACACAACTTGTGATCAATCATTGTGTTTTCCCTTTGCATCAATATTTGTTTCTGTTAATASTTTCTGTGACAGCAGAAATATTGAACTGTTTCTTACCCCATAGGTGTTAAACTGTTACTTAACCCCTTTGTCCTCAGCATTGAGGGTTGAGAGCCACAGGCTGGGGAAAGCTGTTCTGCAACTAGGCTAGGCTTAAAGAAGATACAGCTGTTCTTTATTTTTGTTGTTGTTTTGAAGCACTGATGCACTCCAACTCTCTTTTTCTTGRTATATATAATTATATATATAACAAGAATCCGTTAAACTAAATCAGTTTGCAAATCCTTGTATGGCTTTATTTATCAGGGTGATTTTTTGCTATRTGAAGAATTCTCAGGTCTCTTGAGACATCCATCTGAAAAGCATAACTTCTTACCTAACAAGCAAAGCAGAACTAAAGCAGTTCTAGAGGGTTTTTTTTTTTTCCTAAGAACCTTCTGCCCTTTATGTTGTTGCAAAAACATTCCACTCCAGTAAATATGTATGGGTTTTGTTTTGTTTCTTGAGGTTCTTTCTAACCTTTGTGCTAGCAACAGATTTGGTGCGTGATGGCCTAGGGTTGGGTTGTTTTTTTTGATTGAAAAGAAAACATGAAGTCTCTGGAGGGAAAAAAAGAAAAAGAAAGAATTGCAGTTTTCTAAAGTATGGTTTGAAACTTTCCATATCATTTGGAAAGGTACATGCCATACTTTTACTATTAAAAGTAGTTTATTTTTGTGTGTGATAATTATATACATCTAAGCTATTTTAGATGTAACAACAAAATCAATTGTTTTAGTATCACTTCTAAAAGCATTTGCTGAAGTCTTAASACATCTTACTTAAACATGATGATTGTAATTTTTGCAGGTTTCTGTAGCTGCTTCCAGTGCTGGAAGAGGATCTCCAGCTGTAACTCTAGTGCAGTTGCCTTCTGGTCAAACTGTTCATGTCCAGGGTGTCATTCAAGCCACACAGTCCTCAGTCATTCAGTCACCACACATGCAAGCTGTTCAGGTTAGCTTTTTTATTGTTACATTTTCATGAATATTTGGTACCTCGTAACTCTTTTCCCAACCCATCTTCAGTTTCTCTTCATTCCAACCAGTRCTGYAAGATTTACTCATATGGCACAGGAAACAGTGGGGGGAAAGATGGCAGACATCCAACCAGCAGCAGCTCTACAGGCATTGTGTAGCAATTCCTTAATGCTTCCTGTTTATCTTATAAGAAATTGTCTTGGAACTTGTGTCTGAACTTACGCAACAGCAAACCTGTGTCATAATATGGCCTTACTTCAGTGTATCCTGCAGTTTTTCCGTTTTGTTAAATTCGRTGAACATATTGTTTCTAATGAGACTATGAACTCATAAATTTTCAAGAATCTCCKATTTTATTATTAGAGAGGGCCTGGATGAAGTAGGTGTAAGCATATAGTATTAAGTGGTTCCTTTTTTTAAGCCCCCGTCATACCTTATTAGAGCTTCTGGTATTGCTTTTTTGTGCATGTGGGTACATAGTGAAAATATGGGCAGCCTTGAAACAAAAATTTATGTGGTAAATGTTCACATGTTTAAAGTTGCTGGAACTAGAAAACAGGGATCAGTGCAAAATGACTTTTTAGAGTTTTTAAATAGTGAAAAAGGAAAGAGAGAATGAGTTTGCAGTGTTTTGAAAACTGCTTGACCTTGCATTAGTGTTTTTCTTGTAGCTAGGAAGGCCTCTGCTCTAGTTTTWTTCAAATCTGTTTTGAAAATGTCAACTGAATTGCTTTTTACAGGTAGAATTGATGTTTCTGGYTAAAAGGGGTGCTACACCTGTTACGTGGGAAGGGTTTTACTTGTGGCCATTGCAACATGTTAAGGAAAAGCTTTGTGTTGTTGGTCTTCTTGAGAAGCCATCTTTAATGTTAGAGGCTTTCAAGTATAATAAATAAAAAGAATATATAAGTATGATTTATATTAGAGAAAACAAAACCTTAATCAGATAATGAATATTTTATTTTTGAGCAGTAGGTGTAAAGGATGGGACCTCAAGGTTTTGAAATCCTTGGTCACTGTTAAAAGAGGTGCAGTAGATGTCAATACTTGATCAAACTTAAAGTCAGAACAGAGTATTCAAAGAAAATATTTTTTAAAATTGGAATTCTTTTTAACTGTAATTTTCCTGAGTAATCTTYATTCAAAATGCACATTAGTCATTCCCAGTTTCTGTCACTGCTCTTCCTTAAGTCAGTGTAGTCGGGACATATATACAAGATGGAGGACTTTTTTTCACATCTCAGAGAAATTTCTCAAGAATCTCTTGCCAGCTGCTGCTGTGTCACCTTAGGGGAGTGGAAGTCAGSTGTTGTATTGAGTGAACTCTGGCTATCCTCCCTTTTCCAAAGGGCTAGAAACAGGAAAGTTTTTTCCCAATTAATACTTATTAGTTAATTCCAGGTTTTTGCTTTGGTTTTATCTGGATAAGAAGGGCTTGAAGATGCTGTAAAAGACTCCATTACAGAGGGTGTTCAGTCCTTCTGTGATTGTCTTTGGTATTTTATCCTGCCACCTGGCATTTCCTTCATATCATTTGGCTTTGACTTGCTACCTTCTCTCTACCAGACAGTGAGAAACTTGAGAAATTATGTTAGTTTAGAAAAGGAAAAAAGAAGTGTGCTGAAGGTTGATATTGAAGCTTGCATGACCTCTCCCTCAAACATCTGCCGTGTTCAACTGGAAAGTGTTCAGAAGTTTTTCTCATAATGCAGTTGCTTTTTATATGGAAAATATGTTTATCTATGTATCCTTATTGTTTTGTTATATGCTGTTTTATTTGTAGGAAGGTTTAAAGTTCAGATTGTTATTTGACTTACTGCTTGCTCCCACCTGTAGTGTATCAGGTCTTGGAATAACTAACATGAGTTTGAAGTTAAATTTGTTCAAGTGCAGATAAAGTCAAATTAGGTAAAGTAAAAATCTCAACGAAGTCCAGGAAAATATTACAATGGTTTCTGTTTGTTAGCATTATGGAGTGTTCATTTCTCTCTTTGTTATGATGAAAATTAAAGCTTTTGAAATTTCTTGCAGAAAATGTCCTCTTCCACATTGTCATGGTTTGACATTGGCCAAACTCCAGGCACCTACAAAAGCGATCACTCACCCTCCCCTGCTGGGCAGAGGAGAGAAAATTTACTGAAGGGTTCAAGAGTTGAGATAAGGACTGGGAGAAAACACTCCAAGAGCAAAACTTAACAGGCTCAACTTAAAGATAGAAGGTGAATTTATTACCAACAAAATCAGAATGGGATAATGAGAAGTAAAATAAGCCCTTAAAAGCAGCTTTTTTTCCCCCAACCTCTCCCTCCTGCCCACTGACAATGCAGGGAGAGGGTGTGGTTTTTGGTCAGTTCATCACCAAGGTYTTTCCTTGCTGCTCAGGGGGTGAAGTCCTTCCCCTGCTACACTGTGGGATCCCTTSCACGGGGAACAGTTCTCTGTGATCTTCTCCAGCTTGGTTACAATCTCACGAGCAGCAGCCCTCCGAAAACTGGTTCAGTGTGAATCCTTCCCATGGGCAGACAGTCCTCCCAAACTGCTGTGGTGTGGRTCACTCGTYCATGGGGTGCAGTCCRTCAAGGCCAGGCTGCTCCAGCCTGGGACCAAGGTCTCTCTCTCCACCRGCTCTCCTACAGGACCACAGCCCCCTCCAGGCATCCACCTGCTCTGGTGTGGGCACCTCCCCCACGGGCTGTGGGTGGATCTCTGCATCCCCCATGGACCCCATGGGCTGCAGGGGRACAACCTGCTTCTCTRTGGTGATCACTACGGGCTGCAGAGGAATCCTGGCTCTGGTGCCTGAAGCACCTCCTCCCCCTTCTTCTTCACTGGCCTTTGTGTCTCCATGTTGTTTCTCTCGCATAATCTCACCTCCTCCTCTTTTCTGGCTGGAATTGAAACTGTGCCCCCAACCTTTGTTTYGATTTTTTCTTAAATATGTTATCACAGAGGTGTTGCCACCATCTCTAATTGGCCCAGGCTTGGTCAGTGGACTGTCCGTTCTCAGAGCCATCAGGGACAGGCTCTTCTGGACATGGTGGAAGCTTCCAGAAGCTCCTCACAGAAGCCACCTCTATGACCCCTTTGCTACCAAAAATCAGCCCGTGCAAAAGTAACACATACATTAAAATTCTTAAATCATCTTCTGATTTCCTTACCTTTTTCCAAAAGTATGACTGTTCCCAATTTCTTTAGCCTTCTTCATGAACCAGGGGGCTATTGGTAGCTGTTAGGGGATTCTGAAGGTTTAAAGGCAACTAAAGTCTTGKTTTTAGGCTATTTGTGCCTAGAAAAATAGATTATTTATTACCCCTCGCTCCCCAGCAGAATGAAAAATCTGTTTTGAATTAGGCTGCCCAGGCTCTTGGCTGTGCATACTGTCTTACTTTTGAAGGATTATGCCAGAGGCTTGAGGGTCGATCCATGAGCAGATTGCTGAAGGCACATTGGGAGGGAAATGTCTTTCAGGATCTCTCTCTGGTGCTCAGTATTGGTCCATCCTGCAGAAGGAAGAATACAGACTTCCTGAAGRACCTCTGTCCCTGCAGTCAGCTCTGATGTCTGGTTTGGAGCTGTACATCTGTACACATGCAGAAGTACCTCTCACCAAGCTGGCAGACAGAATTCTAATGATGCTYGCTGCATATTACCCAGCAAAATTGGGTATTGGAATTCTGTAATTCTATGTAATAAAATTAACAAGTGAAGAGACAATTTTGTTCTGCAATAACCTGTAGTTCCTTCTGGGTGTAGTTCTACAGGTTTGAGTTGAAGTGACCCAGGTCTATAAACTTCCAGAACTTTCCAGACAGTAATTTTCTATTGAGGTCAGGAAGATTTTGTTTCTGGTACTGAACACTGATGACTGGCAGATGCATTAATTCTAGAGCTCTTCCTTGTCTTCCTAGAGCTTCCACTGCAGCCAGGTCAAACACTTGAAGCCTTCTAGTCACTTACATCTTTTTTCTTCAGTGTATATTTAACAAGATGCTTAGTCTGAAACTACAGTCTGGTCTGTCTTGATGTGAAAAGGTTTTCACACTGTTTCAATTTGGAAATCTTTATACAGCAATAGGTCTGAGTAGCTAAAAGATTCCAAGAAAATTATGTGTTTTCCTTGTTCATTTATGAACTTTCAGTTCTGTGTGGTAAGATAGTTACTGGTCAAGAGTGTAATTCAGTCCTAGGCCTTAATGYTGTCTTGGGTAATTTTAAGAGAAGAATATATGAAAATACTAATACTAAAGGTTGGAGAAAATGAGACACTGTGGGCTTGTGAGGCATTTCCAAAACTTATACAGCATTACTAAGGAATCTCTTTGTATTTATGAATGTATTAGTAAGTGTAATAAATGTGTATATTTAAATAAAGTTATGTTCTAAATAGCTTTGGTGTGGTGTAAGAGACTTTTATATTGTATACTATTACTTAAGGCACATTTGTGCAGTATTCTGTATTTTAGATGTTTGACCTCACTTTAAGAGCTCATTAAATTGTATAATATTTTTTTACTTAAAGAAATCTGTTTTCAGTACTTTTTCTAAGTGTCATTCATAAAAAAAGTAACCTGGATTAYTTTGACTTTTTTCTTTTTCAAATGGAAGATGCTGTCTATCTAAGTGGCTGTGTCTAACTAACCTTATAATTAGTGACTTACTTTGGAAAAAGAAGTCCAAAATCATATGATTAGTGATAAATGAGTCAACAGACTTCCCATATGCAAACATGGAAGGAATTAAAAAAACTAATTTACTCTGCTGCTTTTTTTTTTTTAATGAAGTTATGAATTTCAGGAACTTTGCTATTACAGGTAGCATCGATTGCAGATGAAGCTGCACAATCAGAAGTGATAATTGATTCTCAAAAGCGTAGGGAAATACTTTCAAGAAGGCCTTCATACCGGTAAGGACTTTTAATTTTGGTTTTGCTGGTTTTAAACCAGCAACTTACTTATTACAGCAAAACTGATAAAAAGTCAGTTATCTGATTTTCTTGTGGGTATGGATTTTTAAGTACATATAATTACTTACATTCTTTTTTTAGAAAAATTCTGAATGAACTCTCATCAGATGCTCCTGCAGTAGCGAAGATTGAAGAAGAAGAGAAGTCAGAAGATGAAGGAACGCCTTCTGGTATTTCTGCAATGGCCATGCCAACCAGCCTCTATCATACTAACACGGGGCAATACCGTATGTTTGCAAATGTACTATGTGATGATGCACAGCATACATAGCACAACTTTGTTTCTAGGAGTTACATAATGCAATAGGGATGTTGTGTTTTGATGAAGAAGAAGAGATTCTGTATTTCTAAGTAATTATTATTAATTTTTTCTAACATGGGCATTATAGACTTSTAATCTCTTGTAGTATTTGTTGGCTGCTATATTTAGTTCTTCTAGAGCTTCTATGCATTAAAATTTGGAGGTGAGGCTCTGCTAAAATGAATAATGTTGACACTTCTTATGTGAATGTTTAATGATACAAATCATTGCAGTTTCAAATTCTTGTGATTTGCYATGTATTAATGCTATTCATTATATGAAATGGCAAGTAGAGTTTTTGTGAAATGTAAGTTTGGAAAATGAAATTACTTGTTAATTTCCAGTTTTCTTTCTTTAAAGAACTATGTCTTTTTGTCTCCAGTTTTTAAGTATCTACACTTTTGCTGCAGAATTAACCTAAATCGTGGTTCCAACAGTCGATATTTCATCCAAATGCAAATTAAAACTTACATTCAGGATTCTGTTTTATAGATTTGCTTTTGGATTATTTTTATGCATGTGTTTATGGTAGAATCGCTGCATAACTTGCACTCTATGACTTCTTTGGACATGATCAGATATCATCTAAGGGATAACTTTTTAATAACTTTTTTTGAAATTAGGTATTTGATAAAGCTTCACTCCTACACTTTGTAGGGTTTTTTTCATATCTTTTCATAAGTAGGCACACTAAAGTGCAGACATCTTTCCTTTGGTATAATGACAGGTAGATTGCATAAGATATGTGGTAGAGTTTTTTTCCTGAAATGAAGAAACAGAGGAAGTCTATTAAAACATTGCAGTGGCATATAGAAGAGGCTAGAATGGCTCTCTAGTTGTATTCTACTCATGCTTACAATTCTTTAGTTATTTTTAATTTATGCAACTAAACTAATTATTAACTGTGAGAAGACAGAATTTGCCTGTAGTATCTATTATTTCAGCATYGAAAGTCATTTTGCTTGTGCCCCTAGGCTTCTTTTCTTACTCTTTCTGTAAGCTATAGACATAAAAAATTGTTTGGTGTGTGATGTCCATCATCCTAAGTTATATTTATCCAGTACTGAATCTGGCATGTATTCCTGTATTCTTGTAGTCTAAGAAAAACTAAATATTTYCCTTCAATTTTTGAATTGTTCTTTTGATTTTACTTAGTTTTAATTAAGAATATATATATTTGCCATTTCAAGGCTTAAAAAGAAGTGCTGTAATGTCTGTACATTTACGTAAGTGAGCCTGCAAACCTGCAGGATTTCTAAGAAATTTAGATTTTAGGTTTCTTAATTGTTGTTTCCTCTGGGAAGCCATGGTTGTACTTTGGCTTCAGTGTCTTACAGGAGGTGATTCTTAGGAGAGAATTTTTGCTCTTTGCTGCTTTTTCTTGGAGTAAATTACAGTCGTAGCCTAAAACATATGCTGGATAATTAAGTTTCTCATCATAATGGGGCATTGCTTAAAGATGCAATGTCAGCCTTCATGTRCTCTCTTGGTTTTGGCTTAAAAACATTGTTTTAGAGCTTTTGCTTCTTGGAAGTAGTTTTTCTTGTCCAAAATATTAGTTTATTAATTTGTTTTTTTTTTCCTAAGTTTATCTCTGTAAGTTAAAATATTTCTKCTTTAGCAAAGTCTGTGTATTTTAATTCTGATTAGGTAAAAGTGGTACTGGGTGGTAGCAAGGATGGTCATTTCCTTCTAATAAAGARGGTCTTAATCTGGAATTTAGTAAAGAGAACTTGGCTGTTGACCCCTAGTCTTCACATGTATGAAGCACAGACCTGAAGCATTTCTGAGGCATCYTGTTGGTTGCCTGTGATCCTCAGGAACTGCTGCTAGCTAAAACCAGGAATGCTGTGTGGGAATGCAGCAGCTCCAGTGTTGATTTTMGACTGGATATGATGCAGAGGGTCACTGCATGTACCTCCTTCATTTTTACATTTCCTGTCAATAGCTCTGTACTTTTGCCTATCATTATTGTGCCTGAGGACTCCTCTCTCCCTGGCCAGCACTGGCTGTACGGGTTCTCTTGTGCAGGCACCCGGCAGTTTATGCATTAAGCTTGTGCAGTGCCTGTGGCAATGAGGAACTGGTCTTGCAGAGTCGCTGTGGCCATCTGTACTGTGCTCTGGTTTAAAAGAGATATTATGTTACTACATTTTCTAGTTCCTTTTTTCTTCTATTGTTCTCTCTATTCCTGTAAAAGAAAGGCAGYTCAGTTGAAGAGATCATTTTGACTGTGTGTTTATGTGTGGATGTCTGGGATGACTATTTTTGGAAGAGCTTGATAAGTAAATTTTTCTGGAAAACAAATGTATTTTTTTTCTATTAGCAGCAGTGATGGCTGTTCTCTACTTACTTTTTACCAGTCAAAATGGAATGTTGCYATGGTTTCCAAGTATCTTTTTCCTCGGGGCTTCTTGGCTTTGGCTTATGGAAGCAGACAGACTGACATGACCAGATAAAATGTTTTTGCCAGCTACCTCCATCAACATATGTGTGATCTTTCTGTCAGGGAAATGGGTAGTTTTGCTGTCTTGTGTAGGAGCCTTGTAGCCTCATCTGACTACACACCCACTCTGTTGGCTGTCGTTCTGTCATGTTGGTTATTTAATAATGAAAAAAGTTATTAGTTCCTCACCTGTGGTGGTGGTCTAATGTGCAAGAGTTGTTCRTTCAGTTGGAGTGTGTGATCAACCTCCCCGCCCCCCTGCCAATTTAAGCATATTATGATGATCTGCATGAAAAGATGCCGGAGGAATGAAAATTAATAGTTCTTTTGCCATCTGTTTGGGTTGCTTGCTGTGTTAGAACAGATTTTTAACAATTGAAGAATTAAAAAATCTTTTGGGAAAGACTAAGTTTAGTTCCATTTCCAGTTTTGGAAGGGAAAAAGATTTGGGKTTTTTTTTCTGGGTTAGAGCTGCTGATCATACTCGGAGATTAGTATAGTAATTGAGATTATTGGTATTAGTATTGTCTTCACTAAGAGCTAGAGGAGACGATGCCTCTTGCATCCATCTGCCTGCATGACATTCAGCTACAGGGACTGTCCCCAAAAGTCCTGTACTCATCATAAAAGGCCAARTTTTCAGTAGAGCTCCAGCACAGCAAAGTGTGTGCAGTGGTTGCCATCAGGACAGAGAATGGGGGGATGGGGCAGTGTGTTGTTCTGGGAATAAGGCAGGAATCAGTCCTGTAAGGGAGGCAGTTACTGGARTTACTTCACTCTTGTTTATAAAGTACTGGATTGGGTTCTGAATATATGCAGGACAGTTGTGACATAATTGTTTACCCAGGCTCACTGTGGGAGCAAGAGCTTTGTATCTGTGYTGATGTTTTACTGCTTAGGAAGCCAAACTGGTGGGGTTTATGTGRTATGGTTCTGTATGTACCATTCTTTGTGCTAAATCTTGAGTGGCAGGATTTGGCTCTTTATAACTTCTCTGGGAGATAGAGTTGAAAAATCTTAYCCTGGAGCTTACCAAGAGTAGAGGATACAGTGCTTTACTTTTCTTGCTGCTCTTTCTTTTGTCCTGGCCCAAAATGGGGCACTTTCTGCTTTGGAGGCCAGACTGAAACATCTTGCACGCTGCACCTTGCCACACTCTTCCCCTTCTCCTTAATGCCTTATGGAGCCTATGTGCAGCACCCAACTAGTTCCTGTGTTACATATTCCTCATTCCAAGGGCAGGACYGGAAGTCCATGCTGTACCCTGTTTCAGTGTTGCAGACAGATCTTTGAACTTAATTCAGCGTGAGAGGAATTCCATATTTTCCCCAAAAGAAGCTAATTYTGCTGTTGGGATTTGACAGTTTCTATCTTTTAAGTATTTATGTCTGAAGTTAAGCTTTCAAGATAACCTACTGTTTGTCCAAACAGAACATTTGTGATCAGCAATGTCTAAAATTCACATAGGTATCTAACAAATCCTGTATTGAGATAAGCAGATCTGAATCTTCAGGAGTGGCATCAAATACTGTAATCTGACAGTAAATTCAGAAGAGTTGGCAAACCTGAATCTTTTTTTATATTTGACTTTTGTAGCATCTCAGATCACTTTAAATACAATCACAATGTTTGTAGTTTAAATATCTTTTGGGGGAGAAAGGATTTTATTTCTCCTTGGGAGTTGTGTTCTCAGCAAAAAGTTTCAGARTTTTTTTAATTAACACAGGAGATGTGGATTTGGCTGGTGAATCACTTGGTGGATAAGGAATTGGCTCAAAGAGCTCCAGTCAACAGCTTAATGTTCAGGCGCTGACCAGTGATGACTGGTTCCTTCAGTGGGACTGGTTTTGGGACCAGTATTATTTAGTATCTTTGTTGGTTGGAGACATGGAAGGTGGTGTTGAATACACYTTCAGGAAGTTTGCAGATCTCACCAGGCTAAATGAAGCAGTTGATACTCAAAGCTCAACAGGGAGAAGGGATCCCATCCAAAGGGACTTTGGCACAGTAGACAGGCGGACCCAATGCAAACGTCATGATAAGGCCAAGTGCAGGATCCTGTGTGTGGATTGTGGCAATCCTAAATGTGGATGCAGGCTGGGCAGTGAGTGATTGAGAGTGACTTTGTGGCCAAGGACATGCATGTGCTGTTGGATGAAACACTGAATAGGACCTGGCAATGTGTGCTTGGAGCCCAGAAAGCCAACGAGATCCTGGGCTTTATCCAAAGCACTGTGGGCAGCAGGTCAAGGGAGTGTTCTGCCCCTCTGCTCTGGTGAGACCCCACCTGGAGTGCTGCATCCAGCTCTGAGTTTCCAGCACAAGCCAGACATGGACCTGCTTGAATGGATCCAGAGGAGGGCCATGGAGATYATCAGGGGCTGGAGGCCTCCCCATAAAGACAGGTTGACAGGTTTGAGATTGATTAGCCTGGAGAAAAGAAGACCCTAGGGAGACTTTGCAGTAGCCTTCCAGTACTTAAAGGGGACCCACAGAAAAGATGGGGAGAGAGTGTTTATCAGGGAACATRGTGATGGGATGASGGGCAATGGCTTCAAACRAACAGGATAGAGTTAGTTTAGAGATTACGATGGAATCTTCACTTTGAGGATGGTGCTGCGCTGGAACAGGTTGCTGAGAGAAGCTGTGGATGCCCAATCCCAGGAAGTGTTCARGGCCAGGTTGGATGGGGAGGCTCTGAGCAGCYTGATCTAATGGAAAGTGTCTCTGCCCATGGCAGGGGAGTTAAAACTAGATGATCTTGAAGGTCCTTTCTGACTCAAGCTATTCTATGATTCTATGATATTTATGTGTTTAAGAAAGGCAATGCTMATTCTGAAAGGAATATGCAATTAATAATGTCACTAGGGAATTGCAWTTTTTTCCAAATATTTGATTATGGCAAGGAATGCAATATGATTTTTTAATGGGGAAAGTATATTTKCATTTTTCGTATTGTTGATTACATGGAGGGAAGAACCCCACTTTGTTCTGTTTCTCTTTTTATATTTTGGGCTCTTTAGAACTGTGTACAGCTTGGATAAACATTGTGCTAAACTTTTTCTCACACTAAGGAAAGGATTTTGTCAATTTTCTCTTCCTTTGTCTTGATGTTTTGGTTTTGGTTTTGTAGGAGTCAATAAACAGCTTTTATTTTAATTTAAAAAAAAATAACTTACACATTAGTATTTAAAATAGCACTATTTTATATGGCTAGGAGCTACTATTTTTTCATATTTAAACTGTTTTAGTAGAGTTAATGTTTCTGGAAACATAGAGATAAAATGTGTTGAACCCTGCTTTTTATCTGTTATACACATCCTATGTACTAAATCAACAGGCTTTGTGGAAATCAGTRTTCAAATTACCTACGTTTTGTAGTCCCATTGATCTTTGGGCAAGGAGAGGACCAGGAGTCCTAAAAGGCAATGTTAATTTCATGCTTTTTGACATATTATATCTTTCTATTGCCTAACTGATTTTTTTCCTTTTTTTTTCTGTTTAGTTACCATATCTCAAGGTGGTACTATTCAGACTGTGACGAATTCAGGAGCTCCTCAGCCAGGCGCTACCATTGTGCAATATGCAGCACAGTCATCTGATGGCACACAACAGTTTTTTGTTCCTGGAAGCCAAGTTGTTGTTCAAGGTATATTTTATTAGTCTACTATATTTTTTTATGTTAAACAATTTTTCTTAAAACRTTTTTTATTTTGTGTTGACATTATTGCACTATTAAGGAAAATACTCATGCATAGCAAGATGACAGTCAGTCTTAGGAGGGGATTCTGCTCAGTAAGACAGCTACTCCTTTTGGTTAAAAAGGATGAAATAGCAGGATAAAACCACTTCCTGCTTTGGATTCTCTTCAGATTTTGAGAYGTATGTTTAATTGGAATAAAGGTGCTCTTACAGATGGAAGTGAGATGCTGAAGGTGCACCTTATTTAACAGATGAAACTAATTTGGTTTATTCAGCATTTAATGTTAATAAAACACAAAYTGTGAAGGTTTTGGGATATGTTTAAGGCAGAATTTCCTTGCAACTTAYGGCTSTTGCAGCTACAAGAAAGCAGATCCTTTTACTGAAGCTAGAAGAGTGCTTTGAAGGTGCAACAAAATGCACATATGAATTGAAAAGTCAATAGTGAATTCTCRAGCCTCACTGTAGTTTATGCAGGATTTTTATTTTTTCCTTCCACTGTTCCCAGCCTTTTGGTGAGGGTGTTGGAGAACCAAAGGTGTTTTGGATTCTTGTCTGTATCAGGGGATTTGGGTATTGTGATGAAAACCTTTGAAAATGGGAGAGATATWTCTCTATGGTGACACTAGATTAATGGCTATGGAGGATATACAGAATTTTTAAAAAGCATTATTTTACTGACACAGAGGAGTATGGAGGGAGGACTCTATGAATACTTTCTTAAACCAAAACAACTATCTGAAATAAGCCATGAGAAGAGCTAGGAAGGATTTAGATATGTATTCATGGAGTGGATGAGAGTCATCACATAAATGCTGAAATATATTGTTGTCCCAAGACTTTTCAGAAGCATTTCAAGGAAATTTTAAAACTATCAGATCAAAAAAAACCTTAGCCAAATCTTAGTTTTTATTGTGCTGAGACTATTGTTAAAACTTCTCTAAATGTTATTAGGAATACATTCTTAACAAAGCCTTAAGACCCGAATTTGTCGGTCCCCCAAGCCAGTTTCCTAATCTGGTACTGCATGTTTTTCTGAATAAGAGTSTAACATGTTCCCTATGCATGTGCATACTCATCCCTTAAATCAGAGGACTTTTCCATCTCTCCAGGTTGACTATAGTATTTTATAGGTATTGCTTTGATTTTTCTGAGCTTTGGGGTCAGGGGCAGAAAAAAAAATGACTCCTCAGCTACATCCTAAAAATTCCCAACCCTGTGAAGAGGYACAGCATTTGAGGATTTTATCTGGCAGCATTTCAATCCTTGGGAATTTTGTTTGACTGACCTTTCTTTACCAGACTGACTCTCCATTACAGAGCTGTTCTCTGGCCGGGTTACTCAGTGTCAGCAAATGGGCTCAACAAGATGGAATTGCCCATTAAGTGTCTTGCCTGTGATGGAAACTTTGAAAATGGATTCAGAGACAGTTACTGAATACCTTCTATATCATGTTTCTAGAAGCATCTAGGTACTTTCAACTAAATTGATTTGTTCTCTGTCCATGCTCAGAGAAGTTTATTTCCTGGAATTGGCTGTTCCTTTGGTTCGAAGTCCARTGCTTTAGTGAGCCTCATGGCTGTTAACRCAGAAGAAAAATGCTGCATAACATRTACAGGGAAAAGTACAAAGCACACAGTAAGTGAGCATGGAGCTGATGAGAATAGAAAAGGCTTCAACTTATTCTACATGCTATTGATACTGGAAAATCTGTGAAAACCTCTTTAATAAAAKAGAGGTGTATAAAAATAGTGTGAAAGCATTTGAAGATGTTTACAGTAATATAATTGTATATAGTCAGTAAATGTGAGTTAATCAGGATGGAGGGAGACAATGGAATTAGCTGAACATACAAGTATCTGAAATGTCCTTACTACAGGTCGTCTTGCCTATGCTGAAAAGTATGTAGGAATATAGTTTCTGAACAGTTGTCATTTAGGTACACTTTGTAGTTGACTGTTCACCTAATATTCTGATAGCACAGATTATAATAGGAAAAAATATTCTGCTTAGCATTCTGATCATTTGCATATATTTTATAATGATTTTAGGCAAGCAGCATATAATTTTTTTCTTAATCTTAGAAGAAGAAAATAATGTAACAAGTATCTGAAAACAGAAAAGATCTGTTTCAGATTCTGTTTCCGAATCTTTCAGATAGCATATGTATTGATATCTTTTTCTRAAGTATTTGTTGATGAATCTCATCTAATAATGGATAGGATCAYGTAAGTCCTGTGCTTGGTATTTTCTGATAACCTGTGGTGGGGAARAATATTGGGATAAAAATACCAAAGGTGTTGATCCAATTGAGTGACATTGCATGTGCTACAAGTTTACATTTGTAGGCAAAATGAGAGGCAGTTAGTGTCTGGACAGTTTCCTAATACCTTATAAAGTTAAAGATTTTTTTGCTAGCTGAAGAAGGAAGTGTTTTACTATTAGTGAAAATGAGTGTAGAAAAATTTTATTGAAAAATAATTCTGTTTGGATCTATGTGTGTTTTCATTTTGTTGTTAATGATATTTGAAATCTGKGGCTTGAATTTCTTGTGTGCTTTGATCTTCTGTTCATATGATCCTGAAGTASTCCTGTAATTACAGAATGCTCCTTTTTTTTGCATTGATGCTCCCAGTGCTGCCATCCGGCACAGTTTCACAGTTGATGAATTACCAATCTGAATTCTTTTATTACAAAGACCTTACAAGTTTGCTGTGCCCTACATACAGACCAGTGCTTGGAGTCTTGGTCTGAAGTAGATTTCTTTTAAATTTATGTAAATAAGGAGTAACTCTCTTAGAGCTGAGTTGGTTTTTAAAAAAAAATATATTTTAAAACTAAGTCAACAAAATCTCTTGGATATATTTTGAAAAAGGAGGGAAGGGGGAAGAAGTATCCCTTACCCAGAATTACTGTTCTGACTGTTACAGCATCTGAAATCTCTAGCATTAGGCTGACTTACTTTGTTGGAGTGTTCCTTAATAAYTTCTGAAGCTTGTAAGTGAAATTAAATGAGTGGGTTGTGTGTTTCCCTGCAAAGCGAGGAGCTCTAGCCTTTCATTTAGCTATTTGTTACAGCTTATTAAGCTTTCCTGCCTTGCATGTCTGTCCAACAGAGTTCTCTGCCGTTTAGTGGAACTGTTCCAATGAAAACAACTTCATGTCTGTTTAAAATTTCCTTATTTTCTGTCCAATCATGACTTTATCATTTGGATTCATTCATGAATGCTAGAGCTATGTTTTAATTTCTGWCAGTGGTGCTGTGAATTTTCAGGTCTTTGTTAACAGCCTGCTTTGTGGTGAGTGCTTTCTGTAGCTTTATGAATAATTCAGGGAAAAAGAACAAAGCTAGGATTATAGCAATATGAAGAGGAAAAAAAAAAGCAGGTTTACTGGAAAAGGAATTCTTTGGGCTGCAGTTTCAGTGAGCTGTTCCAGTGATGGAGCATATTAATGACAGTGGTAAGCAAGTGAGGTCATTGTGATGTCAGTGCTCTGCTTGTAATCCTGCACATGCTTGGTAGTTTGGAACAGTTCATGCTGAGCTCTGCTAGAGGAACAGCAGAATCGTGTGTGCAGAAGTTGATCATGGCTGTAACAGGAGATGAAACAGGTAAAAATTTTGTTAGCCTTTGACATGAAAATTTTATATGTCTGTGCAGTGTTTAGTTAGTATTTATGACATTTTATTTTGAACCTGTTGCTGTAACTCTTTCATCTCTTCAAAGTCTTACAGATAGCTTCCATTTCTATCTACTTAGTGTTCAGATYTCAGGGCAATTTTAGCAGTTTTGGTTAGGGGAAAAAACAAAAAAAAAATCAGTGTTAGTGTGTGAGTTCTTGCACAGATTGATTCAGATAACTAATCTTTGTTATTTGATACAGGATTTTGCTGAAAGAAATCCATCACTCTTCTTTTGCATTTTTCTTTATTGTGGTGTTGGTCATATATGTTACTATATTTATAAATGCTTTTTGTTTTGTAAAAATGACAACTGCTTTATTTATTGAGCAATAAGCACTACGAATTTGATAGCTAAGGGCCTAAGCCTAGCAGTAAAGAAATGTTTCAGCAGTGTAAATCAACCCTGTGCTTCCATTATTTAAAAAAAAAACACGGAATGGAAACAAATTTGAGGGCAATAATTGAAGTATTGTAACGCCTGCTTGTTTTCTCCTCCACTGTTAAAATGGTCTGTTCCTCAGCTAATTGAGTTCAAAAGGCTGACGTCATTAGATTTCCTGGAATCGTGTTGCAGTAGGGAACTGGAAAAGTTAAACTCCAAACAAGATACACATTGACGTCAGCTCCAAGTCATGCTGCGATTTAGTCAGTTCCTTTCTGCCTCGTCAATTGCCTCCGGCAGCTCGGTAACATTAACTGCTTCCCTGCCGGCTCCTACGTGCTGCTGCTCACTGCTGGCCACCTTGTTTCATTAATTCCGAGATAAGTATCTTCTCCAAGTCGATGTTTTTAATGCTCAAAGGGATAATGATTCACACCTTGTGTAGCCAGTTTGGTGGTGAAGTTAAAAACCCTTTCATAAYCAAGTCCCACCATAATGATTCACAGAGGGGGAGAATAGGCATCCAAATACATCAGGCGTTTTTTTCTCCTGRATAGTCACAGAAAGGACTCGAGTGYAGGGATGCTCTCTAGTGTTCAGCAAGTTGCTTCTTCCAAGAGGTGGTTGCTTTTTTTTTTTAAATGCAGTTTGTTTTTTTTTTTCACTACTACTTGTTTTTGGCTTCCTGTTAATAATTTTCTTTTTGTAAGTGTCAGGTGAAAGATTCAGATTTTCAGTGACYTTTTACTCCCTTGCATTTTAAGGAGTTTAAAAAAAAGTTACCTGGGGCAATGTGTTAAGGAAATGCACCAACTCCAGGTTTGTTGCTTTGTTAACAGTCTCAGTTCAACTCTGGTACCTTAGGAATTACATTAAACCTTTGTGAAGTGTCATTAGAAACGGCCACAGAAGTTTGTCGGTCTGGATGAAGTGTGTGTGACTTTTGTCTCAGATGCTGAAATGGAAGGTATGCTTCACTATAATATAGATACATAACTAGACTTAAAATAACCTTGAAAAAAATAAAGTTTATCCCACTCTGTTTAAAGCCTATTCCTCCTTTCCAAAGGCCTTTTTCTGGGGAAATCAGTAGCACTGTAACTTCTTGAGATAATATCCAATACATTTTTCAGTGTTTAAAATATATTTTGCAATGATATGTCATAAAACATATTAGCGCACTGCTAAAAGACACTTTGTCTATGCTATGCTATGCTATGCTTTTTTCTTGCRTACAAACAGTGGTGGCTGGGTTTGCAAGGTCTGTACCACCAGAATGGTTATTGATATGTGTTATCCGTGCTGGCAGGTTTATGAGTGAGACAACTGTTAGGCAGAGACTGCCAGTACTGAGACCTGCTCAGACTGAAGTAMTTACCAGTGGTGTTTGCTGATCCCACTGAGATAGGGACTGGCTTTTGTTAAGTCTTGCTGCAGGTACATGATCACACTGAGTCCTCTTCACAACAGCTGAAGTTAAGTCCTGTTTGCTGCCGTCACAGTGTAAATCAAACACAGACAAGAAAGCAATTGGTCTTTCCACACTGAGGTGATAGGGGTTATGGAGCCTTTGCCATGACTTGTTCTACGAAATGGTTTGCTAGGATTTCTGATTCATTGTAGCTAAGGCAAGCTATGATAACATTTTTAATACCTGGTGATGAGATAGAAAAAGGTCGTTCTTGCCATAGAGTCTGTAAGATGTATGTAATGTGGCCAGCATAAACGTGAGCCTGTAGAGTTGCTAAAATTTCATTTTTATAAATAGTGAGCTGAAGTATCATTCCATTGACGTGACTTGGGACTGCTAAGAACTGTGGACAACTTAAAGGGTTAAGCAATTCTCCTGTAGATGTACAAGATGACCAAGCCCTGTGCTCATGGCAGCTGCCTGTCAGGCTCACAGGGCTGTTCTGGGCTGATTTCTCCATCCCTCCCTCCCACATCCCCGGGGGATTATCCAGGTCAGTTCACTGGTCCAGTTCATCTTGTAATTCCACTAACACTTTTACCCGCAGGACTGAGACGGGGGAGGTGGAAAGGGTTTCAGCGGGGTAATGATTTCAGAACATGGCTGTGKAATTGTGGTCTAAACACAACTCGGTCGACTTTTTTGTTTTTAGTTAGTGAAGTACCTGCATTAATATAGTAAGAATAATAGTGTATTTTCATTAAGTTTTAATTTTTTTTCCCCCTGTAGTTGAGTGATGTGTCTTAACTGCTCTGCCTGTCAGCTTCCCCAAGATGTTTTTGTCTACATTTTATTTTTCCAAGTTGTCCTAGTTTCAGCTGGGATAGAATATGTTTTCTTTGTATTAGCTGATAGAGTGCTGTAGTTTGGATTTAGGATGAGAGAAATGTTGACAGCACACTGATGGTTTAGTTGTTGCTCAGCAGTAGTTCCACTCAGTCAAGGACTTTCCAACTTCTCATCCTCTGGCAGTGAGTAGGCTGGAGGTGCACATGAAGCTGCAAGGAATGGGACCACAGCCAGGACAGCTGACCCTAGCTAGTCAAATGGATATTCCATAGCATTGGGCACCACRCTCAGCATATAAACTGTAGGGAAAGCTGGCCTGGAGACTGCTGCTTAGGAACAGGCTGGACATCAGTTGCTGAGTGGTGAGCAATTGCTTTTAACTTGCATCAGTTGTTTTTCTTGGTTTTATGTATCTTTCTTTACGTTATTTTTTACATTTATTATTTTGTTTTATTTCCATTAGCAAACTGTTCCCATCTCATCCTGTAAGTTTTTTTACCCCGTCCTACTGGGGAGGCATGTGGGTGGAGTGAACAAGTGGCTGTGTAGTGATAGTTGCAGGCTGGGGTTAAACTGTGACATGTTTTTCCATTATTTGAATAATGTCTTAAAGAATTAAAATATAAACTAAATGTAACATAGTAGCCTCTGAAACATAGCTTATTCAGTTACTTTAAAATGACAAAATTAGAAGATTTTYCTACTATTATGTAAAATATTTATGGAAAGGAATTGGTAAATACTTGCCTAGAATTTAAAGAGGAATGTGTACTCTGTTTGCTTTTGTTTTCTGTCAGACAAGACACAAGTGCTTAGGACTTCCCCAGCGTTTTTAAGTTGAGGTACATCATGTAGGGACAAGTACATCCGAAACAAAGAAATGACGTGAGACTGTCAGAAAGGTGTTGGTTTCAAGTCACGTCAGATTGACATTTAGCTTGGGGAGWGCACAAAAAACTGCTAAGTTCAGGAGCTGAACCTGAACTTTTGCCCTCTGATTTAGTGTGCAGCTACACCCCTTCCTGTGCAGCCGCCACTGCCTCCTCTCGCTTGCTGGTGCTGCAGCATCCTATGTGTGGTCCTCTTGCTCAGGGAACAAATGCCTGTACATCCTGAGTACGTGTCTGTTTCTTTTCATGGTAGCAACAGCAGCGCTCACTGGTTATCCAAGGGGTGCCATACTGCTGTTAAGAGAAGGAGAGGTTGTGAAGCTRGTACTGTTGCTATCACAAGAAAGGAGAAAGTTGGCTTTTCAAGGAAATTGAATCCTGTGCAGGAAGAACAGGGAGAAGCACGGTGACTGCAACAGCAGGACCCTCTTTTTGTGTGATTGTGCAAACAGGAAGTGTGAATGCTTGAACTGTCTCTCAAAGAAGCTTTCCCTATCCATTGTCAGAAGAGAGCCATGTGGAAGCTTTCAGTGTGGCTGGCTAGTGGGGCCAGAGCAATTCAGATATTTTACAGTGTGAAAATAAAAGCTATTAGGATGAAAAATGTAGTTGTGCCATTACAGACCTGCGAAATAATTTGCATATCTGGGATCCTGAATAACTTTATTCAGGATTACAGAACATTACAGAAATGTATTATTTTCCGAGAGAAAACTTACGGATTCTTCTCTTGTCCTACAAAGTTTAAAATATGTTTCTTTTATACAGCTGCCACTGGAGACATGCCAGCTTACCAGATTCGAACTCCCACTACTACCTTACCTCAGGGAGTGGTTATGGCAGCCTCACCAGGGACTTTGCATAGCCCTCAGCAAATGGCAGAAGAGGCAACACGCAAGAGAGAGCTGAGACTTTTGAAAAATAGGTAAGACTATGTAATAATTCATAGTCARTGTTGCAGAGAACCCCTCCAGAACATTACAATGAAGTTTTCTTCTTAAGGTTATGAACACTGCCTGTAATTAATGGAAAGAATGCAGGAAATTCTTTGTCAGTCATCCCTTGTCCTTCTCGCACAGAGTATTGGTTGTTAATTCTGGAGGGTTAAAGTTGACCTTTTGCTGATGGATTTTTAGGTTGAAAATATTAGTAATTCAGAACTCAGTATCAGATAATTTTTGTGATGATCTACACCTTTTATTGAATTTTAATTCTCATTCTCTCCCACTATCGACAGTAAAATGACCAGTAGGGGCTTTTTACCTTTAAAACATCCCAGCAAAGAATTGGTTAGGACAATATCTGAGGATCTCATTAGCAGCTCTCCATTAATGATGCTGTGAAGAGGACTTRCTATAAGATGGAATGATAATTATAGACTTTCCTAAATACTTGTCTACTGGGATGAGGTACTTTGCAGTGCCCCTATCATTTTGTGAGGCGTACTGTGTGAAATGGCTGTATATTTTTAAATTAGTTGTCGTGTAYTTGACTGAATGTTGTAAATGTCAGTCTTTCACTGTGCGTTCTTCTTGCTATTCTTAGAAGAGTCTATCTTTTTTAATTGTGTAGCCACCTCTGTCATTGGCAGATTAATAGTAGAAATAGTCTGCTCTGCAGATCTCTAATACACTGATTAACCACATGTTCTTATGATTGAATTAATGGTATTGCTTTGCTCTCATGCCTGTCCTTTATTTTAAATTACTCATGAGGATCACCGCATTGTTGTGCCTCCTTTTTGTTTCTTCTCTTCRGTTTTAAAACTAATGCCTATGCTATAGCTCATAACTTGCTGGAATGTTAGCCTCTCACAATTTGACAGTTTATCATGTTCCGAGGTGGTAAAGGAGGACTCCCAGTACTTCTAATATTTCTTCTGGAACTTAGTGCTAGTTTAGTCACAYGTGTCTGAAAACACTACCCGAAGTGATTAACTCCAATATAACAGACTTGTGAGCAGAACTACGTGAATGGCTTCCGACTGTCATTTGCCAGCAACAAAAACCACAGACTCTTGTGGCTGAAATGTGTTCCGGCAGCCAGTTCTAAAATGCTAATAAATGGTGTTTGTTTGGATTTAAATTGTACTGTACACGGTTACAACATGCTGTAAGTTTTTATCTTAATATAAGATTGGCATCCAGTTTCTTTATCTGAAGAGAGCAGTGTTATGTTTGTGTTTTCTGAAGGTAAATTCTCTGGGTCTGGTTTTAAGATTTTGATGGCAGAAGACAATGCTTCTGATAAACACACAAACTAGAATGTGACTGGGAGAAGAAATGCTGCTTTTCATGCTCATATTTAGTACAATTCAAGTCAATACATTATCATTTACTCTCTGTTTTTCTCAGTTGTTCTGTGTCTTGGTTCCATTGTTGTATTTGGTGATGCTGAATGCATTTAAACTTCTAATTGTTTTGGATTATATTTTAACTATGTTAGTGCTTTTGGCTGTTATCCGATGTTCTGTTTGTGCAATCCAGCAGTTGGTGTTGGTGGTTGTTGTTATTGTGGAACCGCAGGGATTGCAGGTAATTGCTTTTATCCAGTCTTTGCCATATTGTGGCTGTTCCTGTAGTCATTTGCCTTGTATTGGTTCCAGGGAAGCTGCCAGAGAATGTCGCAGAAAGAAGAAAGAATATGTCAAATGTCTTGAAAATCGTGTGGCTGTGCTTGAAAACCAAAACAAGACTCTCATTGAGGAACTCAAGGCCCTCAAAGATCTTTATTGTCATAAAGCAGAATAACTGTCTTTCATTTGGACCTCCTTTATTATGAACTTTAATCAAGGCATGAGAGGAAGCAATTCTACAGATTGCCATATGAACTTGAGAAAGAGACACTTGAGGCCCTTGTGGAACCCAGTTTTGCTTAGTGTTTTCAGACTGATCTGGGAGATATTCCAAAATTTGGAATTCTGTCATAGTCTCCATACTCTGCTGAGCTTTCTAATGGCATGCAAATGGCTTTTTTGTTTGCACTTTTTACTTCTGCTTTTTGCAGGGAAGCTGCTAAAGAATGTCGGCGTCGGAAGAAAGAATACATAAAATGTCTGGAGAGTCGTGTTGCAGTGCTAGAAGTTCAGAACAAGAAACTTATACAGGAGCTTGAAACCCTAAAAGACATTTGCTCTTCCAAAACAGATTAGTAAAAATATTTATTATACTGTGAACTAAGATATGTCCAGTTGCTTTGTAAGACAATACATAGCCAACATAATTATGGCTTTCTCTTTGTGTCATTTATAATATATTCCAATTCCTTACATTCCTGAATGCTTTCCTGCTTTTTGTCATTTCATAGCTCTAATTTCAGGTTTTTCATGCTCCATCCTTCTGTCTCCCAAGGAGCCAAATGTTAAAAAATACAACAAAGTAAAAAAGCGCATAATTTCTATGAGCTGTTTCTTTGCCATATATTTACATACTACTTTTTACATGTTACTGAGTGTCCTGCACATTCAAAATATTTTGCAATTGTTTTAGATGAATCATAAAGATAATGCATCCAGTAATASAAGAAAATCAAACAACCCAAGGTATCTCAGGAAAGAGTTTATAAAAGAATGTTATGATTATATGTATGTACTAGCATACTAGTCTACAGATGATTTTATGGCATATTTTTATATTAGTTGCTTTGTGGATAAAAGTATTGTATTGCTGTCACTGAGTGCCATGGTTAAAGATAGTTTTTAATAGAACCATGTTGTTTAACCTGTGTAGTGTCTGATTTCCTTTAAAAGCCTGGTTGAGATGCTTTACAATCCATGAGTATCTGAAAGAAGACAAAAGGAAAAAAGCACACCTAAGCTCATGACTGATGCTAAGTATATTGTAAATACCTGTAAGAAGCTGTTATATGGCTATTTACCTATATTTTCTGTAGTCTGCAGAATATTTGATTTATTGGAGGTCTGTATATCAAGATTTAAATTTTCATCCTGAATACTTCACATTCTAGATCCTGTACACCTGTGGACAGTTGCCTATAGTGAAGATTCATGGTGCAGTTCTTTTCACAATTTCAGCAAACTACTGAGTGGTGGTCAAGGTGTCCTAAAAAGGAAGCTTTCCAATAAACAGTAACTATTTGCTGATTCACTGGGGTCTGGAGTAGCCTATAGATGAGACCTGAAGATTTTAAAAATAAACCCATGTTTAAACCAGATTACAGCTCTCATAAATGCAGTATGTGCCAACTTTCCATTGTGCTTTGAAAAAAAAGTTGTGCATATGCAAAGTTGCTTCTGGGTATTTCTTTAATAGAGGAGTGATCTAATTGTTTGGCCAGTCCAGTGTATGAGCCGAGTATTTGGGAGCTTTGCTGGAACTAATAGCACCATTGCCTTACTGATGTGGTAGGAAGAAAGGCCTTGGTTACTACTTAACTGGCTTTACTGATGGGAGTGTRTGTGTTTGTGGAAGGGGAGGAGGGATGGAATCATACTGAAGTCATTGAGACTTCTTAATTCAGTTAAAACTGAATTTGCATTTAACCCTCTTCACTCTGACCCTCTTGGGATGGGTTGGTTTATGTATGTATTTTTTTCTTTTTTCCCAAATTACTTGAAATACACAGTATAATTTTCTTGAATCTCTTGGAAATCCCACTAGGTACCTAAGTGAGACCATTTGTAAGAAGAGGTATTCTCTCTCATTTCCTGCAGCCACATCAGTTGATTTAAGGAGGAAACAAGATGCCTTCTGGCCTCTAAGGCTCTGCTGCAGGTCTGGAACAAAAGTAAAGTAAACTTTGAAATACCTTCTTCACTGTGAAAGTACGTCTGAAGCGCTAAGGTCATCAGAATTCAAAGGTTCTGTTCAGGTTGGACAGGATGAATGCAATCTGCAGGTCCATGTTGCAGCCTCTGTAGTGCACAACTAAGTTGTTTGTTCTGACTRTCACTGAAGTCTATTCTGTTACAGGTAGGCATTGCTCCTGACTCGCAAGGGATTTGGAAACTSAAGTAGTAACTTGGGTGTGTGTGGTAGATATCTCTCCACTAAAAAGTCCCCTTTATCTTCACATCTGTCTGGTACTAACTGTAGTTGCAAATTTGATAGGAGGAATATTCCACATCTGTGTAGTTTACAGTMTTTTCTTCAGTAATGGAATCATAGAATGGTTTGGGTTGGGACGAACCTCAAAGATCATCTAGTTCCAAACGCCCGTGCCATGGGCAGGGGATGCACTCACTACTAAATCATGTTGCTTAGAGCTCCATCCAACCTGGCCTTGAACACTTCCAGAGATGGGGCAGCCACAACTTCACTGAGCAGCTTGCTGAGCGCTAACCTCTGAGTTAATAACTTACTCCTAGTATCTGATGTGAATTTAATGAATGGCTCTTTCGCTTTATATCCATTGCCCCTTGTTKTGTCATTGTCTGTGTAAGAAGTTCTCTCCTTCTTTCATATAAGCCTCCTGTAAGTACTGATAGGCTGCAATGAGGTCTCCCTGGAACTTTCTATTCTCCAGGATGAACAAGCCCAACCGTCTCAGCCTGTTTTAGTAGGAAAGGTGCTCCTGCCCTGTGRTTATGTTTGTGGCTCTCCACCATACCTGCTCTGACATGCTATCCTGTGCTGGGGGCCCCAGAGCTGGAAGCAGCATTGCAAGTGGGTTTTTACCAGAGCAGAATAGAGGGGCAGAATCCTCTCCCTCACCTGCTGCCATCCATCTTTGGATGCAGCCCAGGATGCACTTGGCTTTCTGGGCAGTGAGCACACACTGAGGCAGAATAATTGATGAGGTGCAAGAAAAGACCTTTTCAACACGGTAGTATTCCTAATACAGGAACATCAAGTTAATCTCAGTTTATTAGAAGAGAATTTGAGCACTACCAAGCTTTGATTTGTCAGAGCCCCTAATTTTGTTTTTTCCTTATCAGAAAAAAAGGCCAAAATAATTGTGGGGTTTTTTTCCTTTCTGTTAGAAAGCTGCATTTCTATGGTACGAAACTCCTTTCTTGCTGAAGCCACACAAATGCAAATTCCTTTATCTAGAGGATTTGCCTCTAAGGAAGAGTGTACTGAGGACTGCATAGATTTTTAATTTTTTTTTTTCAAAATAGATTTTCATGTAGCTTAGGTAAAATACTCTCTTGTAAAATGTCTTCAGCTTCCTTGAGTTGTGGGCGATGAGGAATGTAATAGTCAGCTTCCTCTTAAGGTACAGCTTTGAGTCACAGCTGTTTCCTTCTTAAGCAGATGTGCAAAGAGAAATCTCTATAGACTATCCAGACAGATCTCTCTTTGACTCTCTAAAACAGTCTCAGCTGTTTTGGCCAGTGAAAAAAGAGATTAAAATAAGTATATTGTGTGAGTATTTGGGAGGACTTTTTGATTGTTGTTCCCTTAGATTTTGCTTTTTGCAAGAATAATTACAGATTATTTTTTGCAAGAATAATTGCAGATTATTTTTTGGCTACACTGATACAGTCCTGAGGAGTGCAAGTTGACTCCTGCTTGGTTTTCCTTTCTTCTTATYGAACATAATTGCTGATCTGTACTGGTACCTGCAGACATCACTGTAATAGCTAAATTCGGGGTGATCTTTCTCTGAATGAAGTTATCACTTCAAAGAAAACGAAGTTATCACTTCAGCTTCTAGTTTGGATTGACTCATTTTGCCCACAGGTTTTTTAGTTTCATCTCCTTGCTGTTTAGTGTGTGTGTGGGTGTGTGCATGGCAAGACTGCAATGAGTGCTGAGCTGTTAAGCAGCTGACAGAAGTAACTGTCTTTTGGTTGTCAGCCTTTCTRTATGAAATGTTGTCATGTGGGGAGGGGAATCTAGTTTTGTTGAAGATTTTTTTTTTTCGAAGGCAATATGAGGCTCTTCTGGATGAGGAATAACAGTGATCTCATTATTCCAGCAAAASTGTTCTACTGTTTGCCTAATTTAATAACTGAGGAAAATTATTTAGGTAAATGCTAAAGCAATTTGATAGTCTCTCATGCCAAGTGGAAATGGCAGATAGCAAAAATCAATTTATTCTGTGTCTAATGAATCTTGAGTATATTTTCTCAGGTTTCTCTTTTTTTCTGATTCTGAGTTAGAACTTCCTTCTTGCAACTAGTTTGTTTCAACACAAGCTGTGAATATGCACGAAGTCTGAGAGGAAGAGAGAGTAGTGTGAGAGTTGAGTGCTGCATGTAAACTAAAGAAATAATAGCTGCATTGTATTCTGTGGGATTTGAATGGAAAAAACAGTGAAGGAAGTGTCTTTGTTATCGTAACTGCTGAGCTTTTTCCTCTCCTTTAATAGCCTGTGCCAGTGGAATTGGGTGTGATTAATACATCTTGTGAATGGAATCATGGTTGTAAAAATGTCACAATTCAGAAACCTGGTTATCTAGCCAAGTCACTGGTTTTGTTTTGGCTTCAAAAACATGATTTCCAAACATCCGTGAATGAGGCTTTTAATATTCTCATTTTCATTATCCTCTCCTCTGCCCCTTCCCAGTGTGGTTATTCTCATACCAGGTATGAGCTGCTGCAGAGCTTTTTAAGCCCAGTCTGGACCACAGGCTTTGTTTTTTCTAAAATAGTCCTCTTAAAGGTTTTTTTTCCTCACGAAGTATTTTATTTCTCACAAAGTATTTTATTTCTCACAAAGTATTTATCAACAATTTCTAGCTTTCTTAATTCTTACAGAAGTGAGAGAACTGCTAACACATTTTTAAGTTTAATACGTACTGAGGTCTTTTGCTTGATGAAGTTGATTTTGAAGAACTGGATTCTCCAAGAACCTATTGTTCTAGTGAACTAAAAGCTTTCTGAATTTTGTCAGCTGGCATGCAAACAAGAAAATGCTTAAATCCTTGACACCCTTGCATTTTGACCAGTGAAGTTGTTGGCTGGTTCAAAGATCCAGACATGGGCCTGGAGCTGCAGCTTTCGTAATACAAGTGAGCAGCCCAAATCTGTTGAGATCTTTTTCTCTCATTTGAGGTCTGATCTAATTTTCTGAAGTTTGTCTGCTAGAAATGGTCCTAACATGAAATACAGCCACAGAGAAACAAGAAAAGGTAGGGTAGACTGAACAAATTGTTTGAAAGCAGTGCTGATAGAGAGTGTGACACAAATAAGCAGGTATGGTTAAGTTTGCATGTGGGACTGTTTTTAAAAAATTGTTGTATTTTTTGTGCAAGAACCCCGTTGGTCTGTGCAGGGTTCAGAGCTCTGCAGTGTTGAGCACACGATGAAAAGTGTTAGCATCTCAAAATTGGTTCCACTTTCTTTTGTTGTATCTTGTGTAAATTGTCACCTATAGGTCCCTCCCTCCCTCATGCTAACAGACCTGTTCCATACGTTCTTTATTCTTTTTTATTGGTAATTTTTGTTTTCTTGAAATTGTTTCCTGTGAAATGACAGTTCCTCATGTTTATATCAGATTTCTTCTARTATGCTTTGAATCTGGTGGTCAACAGCAATTAAAAGTTCGTAGATGTGTCAAAGATTTCTCAAAAGTTCATGAAAATAGGTAGTTAGCAATGAAAGCATGGACTCACTAAAGGAAAAGATGGAATGTAAGTTTTTTCAGTCTCGAGACAATGTACTGGAAATTCTCTCCTACAGATTCCAGAGAATTAATTCAATGATTGCTCGTGAATCGTAGAAAGTGAGGTTTTGTGCTGACAATTGTTTGTATTTTTGGAAGATGTTCAAATTTCTGTAGATTATACCATATTGTTTGAAAGGGCAGTGTCTCTATAGACAAAATGTATTTTATTAAAAAGCTTAAATACCTTTCAGACCTAAGCTCTTTGGTCTGATGTTGTTTTCTRTCTCTTCACCAAGGCAGTGGTAGTTAGTAAAAAACTGTGCAATGTATCCTGATAAAATACTTGCTGGGTGCTCCCCGAAGTTGAAACAGTTACTGGTATACTTTATGTCCCCGCCCTCCTCACCCCACCCCACATTTCAGCTAGGCAAATGAGTTAAAAATAGACTGGTTTTGAAAAACACTGTTTACAGAATAAAATRCCTACTGGCTATACTGTTGCATTGTAGTAGCTCTGAGTAGAATCTGGTAATTGGGTCTTAAATTTGAAATGCTGGTCATTTCTGACCTTTTGGGTAAAGTTCGAAGCAAAACAAGGCACGATTTTTTTCCAGCTGTTTTAGAGTGACACCTTGTGGAGTATAAAGGTCTGCACTTCACTTTCAAACTAATACGGCAGCCAAAGGATGTTTCAGAAGTAGGGAATTTTTCGTGTCCCATGGGGGAGATATGGAGGGGTGGGGTGTTCTRTGGCTCTTGGGGACGCAAGCTCATTTTTCCTGCTGTTCCTGTGTTAATAGTTATAAATAAGTAATTTAAAGTTTTATAACCTGTCAAGAGGAAGAAAAACCATATTTTGACAGTTTTTCAATTTATAGTCTTTCTGACCAATAGTTCCATTTAATGAAAAACCAAATGAGAATGATTTAATTATCATTATCATCATTATTATTATTATTAATAAATTGTATCTAAATGCTATTACAACTACTGCTATTGAAACACAGCACTTGTTAGTTATAGGTCAGAAAAATTAAATACAATAAAAAGACCTAAGTATCTTTTGAAAAAATGGTGCGAAGACAAAATGAAATAATGCAGTTTTAATCCTGGCATATGAAAATATCATTYTGGAAGGGGAAGGTAAAAAGGGGGAATGCAGAGGGCAGKAAAAATAAAGGCACAGTCATGMTGAAAATAATTCTTCAGGCTAGATAGATTTCACTTTTCTGATAAATTGCACAGTTCTGCATTACAGCTATCACTGTATAGTTTTCTGTCACCCACAGACACATCTGCAAGTGACCATGTGGATAGTTCCTATGTTTGTTTTTTCACAGCACCTGAGAAGTGGGTGAACTGAGCACCTTAACAGAATGTTTTTTGCTCTTTCAAGAGTATTAGCCAAATACATGAGATGTGATGTCAATCTAGAACAACAAACGGATTTTATATGGTAAGTTTATAGGTGTATTCTATGAAAAAAGAAAATATATGTGGTTTTGGAATTGTTGTTTTTTAAGAGGTTAATTTAAATATTTATATAATTTGACAATGAAACCAGTTACTAATGCTATGTAAATTTTATTTCCAGTCCAAAATATTAACTTGGTCATGGTTAAGTTWGTGTTGCAACACAGGCAGTCTGAAGAGGGTCAGCACCTTCTTTCACTGTAGTATATCACTGCAAAGCCTATAAAACTGGTTTGSTGTCCCAGCTGTTTTCAGTGTAGCTGTTTTGGCCAGTGTTAGATCTGATTCTATATCTCTTCCCCAGACTAGAGCATTCCTGAGGTGGCAAACATAATGCTTGAACAACATCTAACAGCTCTTGCTGTTTCAGTAGATCAGTTGGTTTCACAAAGTCCTGTTTCCAGTTCACCCACACACCACCACCATCCCACTTTCKAGAATGAAAGAAAATAAATGCTACATTTCTTGAACCAGTATTTTAGCCCTGGAAATCCTTACGTCTTCTTTGGTCTCCCCCATTTGCCATTAGCTTCCTAAGGATCAGAAATGGATTTGCTGTCATAACCCTGTCCTGAGTGCTTTTATGARCAGCAGAGGTCTCACTGTGTGACTTGGAAATGTATGAGGGGAAAACAGAAACAACTTGTGCAAATAGGCACAGCAATATCTGCAGGCCTCAAGTCAGGAGCCATCTCTAGAGACACAGTTGTACCAGATCTCCTTTGTAAATAACTGCCAGCATAACCTCTGCTTTCTGCTGCTCATTTGCCCAAAACCGGGTATGAGAGAACTTATTCAAGTTACTCATATTTCTGGAAGCATCATTTTTATCAGCTCCTTTTAGTTTGTTTTTTGAAGTTTTTTTTCTCAGAGTGATGGCTATTGTAGCAGAGCCTAGCTGCCTCTAGGTAAAGGAGTTCAAGTTGAAATTTTTCTCTGGCAAGACAATCAGCTTCCACCTGACTGGCAGGTGGCAAGAGAACTTGTTATTCTTTTTCATGCACACTTCCCACCAAGGGAATAGCTATAGAGACGTCCAAGAGCTTTTTCAAGTGTACCAAGGTAAAATAAAGGCATATACTCAAACTTGAAGGTAGGAAAAGCTTCCTTCAAGCGAGAAGAGGGCACCCCCATAATAAAATTATCAAAGCTGCACTCTGATGTTTCATAACAAACTTTAAATCTGTCCAAAACATTTCATCACATGCCCCCTGCAAAGGTTTTGAAARTACAAAATTTCAACTGTACAGCCAGTCTAAAGAATTTGAAAGAAACAGTTTGCAGCAGATTATGTAAAAAATCTGATTCTGATGCATACCTCTGCTGAAAGTCTAAGCAAATAAACCTAGTGCTTTCATGGATTTATTATGCACTGCAGAAAGACTATATGTATAGTCTATATGTTTATATTTAGGACAAAGGAAAACATGATTAACAGTGTCCACATAAGCTCAAATTTTGAGTAGGGTATGGGGCAATCTTATCCGTCAGAATTATTCTTGGAAAAACCTTCATTTACAAAAGAATTTACTAATGTACAAGGATTTATGCAATGGCACAAGAGAAAATGTGTATAGATCAAACAGAAAATATGAGTCAATTAGTGTCGCTTATGAACAGGACAGTGGTTAAGTATGTAGGTCACTTTTTAGAGATTAGTTATCTGGGATCTTGGACAGATGCCCAGCAAAGTAAAGCAACTAAATGGAATTGCTGATATAAAATAATCCTATTAAAATACAACATTAACTTTCCAATAATGTAGAGAAGTGGTGTCAAGACAGCAGCTTTGTTTTAAAATTCATACTTGACAAGGAAATAAGCCTATCAAATTAATAAAATAATAAGGACAAYGGCTAAATACATTTTAAATGTAGTTAAAGATTACATTCCTAATGAATTCATCTGCTTTGAATCTTAAGCAATATAAAGTAAGATGAAAGGTATTCAAAATACAGGGAATGGAGCTGATATGTCACCAGGAATGACATTTAGGCCAAATCAGCAGGTTTTGTTTGCTCAAGTCAGTCAATAATTCTAGCAGAAAGCATAGCTAGATCATGCTGTAGATCTAGCACAGCTAGATCATGTAGCTGATATGGCTACAAAAAAAAAACAAACCCCAAACCTACTAGAAAACTGAGGCAAAGTGAAAGAATATATTGCAACAAAGGAGCTGGAAAAAATAGTTGTGCCTACTGTCTTAGCTCAGTATTCAACAGCWGTATGAAATGAGTCTGAAGTGCTGCAGCTGGTTCTCCTTCTACATTTGTGAAACTGAATGTGTCCAGTGATGAGAGAAGCAGAACTGCCTGAAGAACAGAGTTGCTGCACAGCCAGAACTTGACTTGCACATTTACTTGTGCCTCATCACTGCAGAAATCACTGCTGCAACCTTAAAGAACATCCCACATTGATGGTACCCAGGAAAACTGCAATGGCAGTTGTGAACCTGCTGTGGGAAATACTGCTATCTTAAGGGTCTTGTATTAAATGGTCCAGTAAACTGTTGTCTGTCTAAACTTTAGATACCTGGKCCTGAATATGGTAACTGGATCTCTCAGTAGAAGCTTTGTACACAATACATGACTGCTTACATTAAAATCAGAAAAGTTCATAGGAGTAGGCATAGAAAGTCCAAGACTTCATTCTTCAGATTTCTGGGTAAGTTTGTTAATTGCTTGAAGTGATACTTGTCTTACCTAACAATGATARTCTAAACTCTAGTTATTTCTCTGTAGTCTAGGTCTGTATTTCAGTGGGATGGCAGGCAGCATTTTCACAGTGCAGTCCATAACTCCATCCTCWGAGTTATGTGCCCTTGATGAAGTCCCTTTCCTGCCAGTGAACAAACAGTTCAGAGAAGAGCTAGAAACGGAGGCCTGATTTTTCAATTGAAGTTTACCAAGATCCACTCAACCCCAAGGTTACGAATTCTTGACCTTATCCAAGACAGATCAACTTTTATCTTGAAGAAAAAATCCTAAGAGAAAYAGCTGTGGTAAGGAAGGGGAGATGGTATTGTCAGAATAATGATGTAAAGACAGCAGACCCTGACCAGTATGGTTGCTGAAGACTTTCCAGTAGAGGTGAGATTGAATGTTCTTTGTCAGAGAAATTGGATCCTACACATCTGGGAGAGTGATCCTAATGCTGTGCCGTAGAAGATGCTCCACAAACATCCCAGTCATGGATTATGTAATTTTAAAGGGTAGTCATAGTTTTGTTGGCTTCATATGTCAAGCTTGATCTGAAAGTATGAGGTAGGTTTTGCAACTTYGAAGCTAACTGAAAACCCTAATGCTCTCATAGGTGTTTTGCATTCAGGTTAGGTTGAGTGTAAGCAGCAGCTCTGAGCACTGAAAAAATTTGTAGCTGTTGACAGAAGCAAAACTGTAGCCATGTCAGGAGCTCTTAAGTCTGAGATATCCAAATTCATTCACATCCCATTTTAAAYAGCAAAACCTTGTCCTTAGATATGGCCTTATTGCAATATGCATAGTCAAATATGTTCTCGTTAATATTTCTACTGGTGAATGTGGATATAATTAAGCTTGAAGTATGAAGATATCCATGATTTTTAAATACTAATGATTTTTTWAAATTCTCTTCTCTTTGTTCTTCCTTATCAGCTAATATATTTTAAYTTATTTAGCATTAAGTAAAAACTTAATTATTTCTGACTAGTTCCTAACTTTTTGAATGTTTTCTAGAAATATATGATGGATATTTACAAAATTGAAAAACTGCATAAGAATAAAAAGAGGGCTTGAGCTAATGTGTGACTCTGCAACTCTGGGGAATGAGTCAACTATTCATTTGGAATTGAAAATACACAATCCCAGGAGGGTATAATAAAGTGTTGTTGAGCTATCTTGTTAAAATATGTTGGATTTTTGTCAATAGTTAATTGTCAGCAATGTTTTGTAAATGAGAATTCACTATTACCTATGAAACAGTCTCAGAGTAAAAACCCGAAACTCTTCAAAAGATTTATCTTTTGTTTTGTTAGGGAGGAAGGTTTAAATTTGAACATTGCACAAATTTTATATTGCAATAAAGTTCCCTGACCCATATCTCTAGTCTAACCTAGATAATTATTTAGTTTATGTGAGTGTCAACTTCAAAAGTTATGTTATTCAAATGAACAACATAAATTAATAATCAGTGCATATCTGAAAATGTTTGAAGATATTTTTGTCTTCATTTGCAGTACCATTTGCCACTGAAGCTGACAGCTTTAAGACATGTGTGATTATTTCTCTGTGCAGACAGATACCTATCTGTTATCCCATATTTATGCTTTCAGTCTTACCAGTCCCTCAGAAAAATCCTGATTTACAGAGCTGTTACAGATCTTGCTTCTCCAGTTCTCTATACCTGACCCATTCAATTCCATCTGGAAAACAGTGGTTGTCTTAYGCTTGCAGTTACTGTGCACCTCACCATTCTCTTTTACACTAGGAGGTCGGATAGCAAAGGCTTTTAATTTTAATTCAACGGATCAGGTTGTTGAAATAAGACTGTTAAAACAGTTGTCCCTACAAATGTATGGGKTTTTTGTTCCATATATTTAAATGGCATACATAATAGGGTTCCAACACATATGTGCAGTAACTGTARACTTCAGGGTATTCAGATCAATGTTGACAATAACAGTGGTATAAAGAGTTGCAAAACTGAGATCCTTATTTGCCAAAAATGAGATGGAGACACATACCCCTTTCTCAGGAAATCCCACAGGTACTGAGTTAGTCTCTTCTGGCAACCCATCAGCACTTCAGCAGTGTTTTTCCCTGTAATACATAAAGGAAATTGGTTAATGAAGAAGTTACCTGCCTCCTCCTGTGGCTGGCCAAAAATAATTTGTTTGCAGTGTAATAATGTTTCATCTCTTTTCTCATAGGGGAAAAAAAAAGAAACCTAAAACATCAGTGAAGGCTTCTTTCTTGACAGTTCAGGGACATGAATCCCCYGAAAGATTAGAACAACATTGAAGTTCCCTGTGATACCTTTCCATTGGTTTCTTTTGATTTGAAAAAAACAGTGGGTGTGATGAAGATGCCATCTGTTTATGGCTTTTCATAAAATGAATTCTGGAAAGTATAAAATGAGGTGAGCAGGGTACCYTTTAGTTGGAAACTGCTTTGATACCATGAATGCCATTTAACTTGTATCAGTGATGTCCATAACACCAGAAGAGAAGGCGTTAATACAGTGCCTGYTCTGATATGGTGATTCCTATATTCCCCGTGGATATGTGATGAAGGAATAGGGCTAAGCAATTAAAATGCATTTCAAAATGAGAGAATGAGCAGAACAGAATATCTCGTGCACTTCTCTGTGCCATGTGCATTAAATGCTGGGAATGGAGCTTAGAGTAAATGTGTAYTTGATTATGCTTAGTTAATGGCAATAATGCATCTCTTATTGTGATGTTTACTTCTGTGACTCCATAATCCCAAATCTGTGAACCTGTAATCTAATTCTTATTCCTACTATAGCCAACAAGTTCTTGGATGGATAAGAAATAAGGTYTAAATACTATACCACTAATGAAATCCTKATACTTTGTTCTGTAGCCTAGGATTTCCGTCCAATTCTTGGGGACGGTAAGACTTGCAAAGGAAATTTTGTAAATCACATTCGAGTTCTGCTGAGTTGAGTGGTTAGTGAAGATAGCACATCTTGATGTGCAGATGTTTGAGCTGAAAACAGCATCAGTACTACATCTTATATATGTATACAATGTGAAAAATGCTAATCCCAGTTGTGCAACATTTCTCTGTTTCAGGCCATAGTTAGAGAACTGGGTTTTGTGTTTGTTCAGGCCCAGTGTTTGAATCCCCTTGTTCAGTCAGATAAGGTGTTGTACCACTGGAGTCTGAAGGTTTGCATTCTATTCTTTATTTGTAAAAAAGGCATTTTTATTTGTAGGAGTGAATTAATCTTGCTTTCTTTGACTTTGTGCTGGTTTTGGCTGGGATAGAGTTAATTTTTTTCATTGTAACTGGTATGTGACTGTGCTTCAGACTTGTGCTGAGAGCAGTGCTGATAACACAGACTTGTTTCASCTGTTGCTGAGCAGTGCTGACACAGCATCRAGGCCTTTTCTGCTGCTTTTGAGGAGGCTGGGGTGGCACAAGAAGCTGACCCAAACTGACTAAAGACATATGCACATGTTGATACCTTGACACCACACGTCATTCTCTGCATATAAAACTGGGAAGAAGGAAGGGGTGGATGTTGAGAGCGATGATGTTTGTCCTTCCAAGTCACTTGTGATGGAGCCCTGCTGTCTTGAGGAAGACTGAACAGCTGCCTCCCCATGAGAAGTGTTGAATGAATTCCTTAYTTTGCTTTGCCTGCATGCATGGCTTTTGCTTTACATGTTAAACTGTATTTATCTCAACACGAGTTTTTCCACTTTTACTCTTCCAATTTCTCCTGTATCCCCCAGCATGAGGAGAGTGAAGCTGCATGAAGCTGAGCTGCTGGTTGAGCTTAAACCATGACAGATTTGTTAGCTAAGTACACAAATAAGGCAAGGTTCACTTTAAATGTGTATTCCCAGAGAACTGCCATAAAAATATTATGAAGACTGGAGATGCATACGCAGGGATCAGGATATGCCTGAGTTGGGATTTCTATCCCAGGGCTGTTGGCAAACCTGTACCTTATGCAGATTCCAAGTTGTGCAGCAGAAACTTGACGGTGGAGGTAGAAATTGTTTCTCTATGAAGTTACATTTATGTCGATTCCAAAATTACATTTGCAGATGGACAATTTTTTTTCCTTGCGTATACAGGGTACAATAACCAAGACAGCCACTATTCATCCCTCTATGTATTATGGGTGAGAGAAGCTTCAAAGATGGTAAATAATGCTAAGATGTATAAAATAGAGGTACTAAAAAGGGCCAGTGTCCATCCTTTGAAAATGAAAATAGTCCCTGGAATGCCTTGACAGAAAAAGATAGTAGGAYTTTTCAGATTTCTGGGGCTAGAAAAAGCAAGACTGCTTGTTATACACAGCTGTGAATATACAATGCTGTGAAATYTTTTGGGAAATGTGAAAAATCAATGCACGTAGAGATGACAGGCAGATGACATGGACAATGCATTATGGACATATGGGGTCTGGAAATAATAGACAAAATCTGAGAAACCTTGACCTCTGCCCATAAAACTATTTCCAGGAAGTCCCAGATGTGTACAGTAAAAAGTAAAAGGAGTGTTTCTGTAAATAAAAGTAGTAATGAGATAGATGGAACAATACACAAGTATCTTAATCTCAAAAATGTTCAGAACTAAAACTGCCCACTCTTAACCTAGACTAGAATGGAAGGAATAATTTTTCTCTTATTTCAGGTGGAATTCAATAAACTTTGAGACAGCTGAAGGGAAGCTAAGATTTAATTCTTCCAGGCTATGCTTGTTCTACGAGTGTGTGAAAATTAGTTTTGTAGGACTGATGCCAATGCTTCACAGAAAAATAGTACAGTATAATCTCAAAGGTGTTAGAATGAACTGAGAGAGCCTCACATTTGTAGGCCCTTCTTCAAACAGTAAATCACCTCAAATTTTATTGTAGTTGGTAACTGATATAACATATTTTTGTAACATATTTTGGTAACTGATGTAACATTTTTCCTGRTGTAACATATTTTTGTTTGTTTTGTGAAGGTAACACCCAGATAAAATCCTTCCTAATTTTCTCTATTATATCARCTCCTCTTAGGCTCAAGTAGCTTGCTAGAATGCAAGACTAGCATGACATCACAGCTTTGGAAGTAGAATCAGGTAGCTTGCWGTTTCCACATGTCTAACCAATAGTAAGTTGGAGTGGGTGAGTGATTGTGCAGTAGCTGTTAATATTTTCTTTTTGAGAAGTGGCATGRAAAGAGATTAAGTTTCACTTGGTTATTAAGATTCTCATTTCCATGAACATTTTTATTTTGTCAAAAAAAATGTAATGCCTCCTCTGACAGAACATTACAATTCTAATTTTCCTTTGGCACAGCAGAAAACTTTGCATCTTTTACTTAAAAATAAGTTTCAAATATTGCAGAGATCCAGCAACTGTGCTTGTGAAATTAGATAATTCAAAATTATTATTTCCAGCATGATAGGTACATGTAACAGATTAATAAAAAGTCAGTGCTTGTTACRGCATCTGTGTTACATATTTCTAATTCTTGGTCTGTGCTCAGCAATGCTGCCTGATGTTCCAGGTTTTTGAAGTGGAAGCAAATCATATAACCAAAACRAAGAGTACAGCACAGTGGAAGATTTCAAATAAACTGCTGAAGCTACAGTCGCCTGGCACTAGTCAAATTCACATGATTAAAAATACTGTCCTGCTTTTATTTCAACATCTTAGCAAAAACATTGAAATGTCCTGCAAAAGCAACTGGCAATATTGGAGTAGTTATAGAGAAGATCTGTGAGGATACATTTGCTCTCGGACATGATTCCCAAATCTAGGCTGCTGTCTCTGTCACTTAAGCCCCTTGAGTGAGACCATGACCCAGAAAAACAGTCCTATCTTTCCCCAGTCACGTATTTCCACTGCTTCTCCTGAGCCAGTAATAACGTTGGCACAATTACATGGTAAGCTGGGTTAGAGACTAGCTGAAAACTTTGCCTGATTTAGCTTCAAGCAGAGCAGGCTGATACAGCTTCCTGTTCAGCCATATAAAWAATAACGTGAGCAGGGGAGAACAGAAATGATCCTGCATTTTGGGGATCAGAACAGCCAGTTTTGTAACAATGAACACGTGATTCAGAGTGAGTTTCAGATAGTATATCTTGGCTTTTTGAAGAGATGAATGTAGAAGTTGGGAAACTATAATCAAGGGCAGCAAAAGTCCCTAACTCATGTGCTTACACAAGGAATAGCACATGAGGATTTTCCTTCCTCTGGAAATGTGTTTGTCCTGGGGAAAGGAAAGAGGGACAGTTTTGTGTCTTTCWTTGTTGGCCATTTTGAAATATTTTGTGTACCATTAGTGGGATCTAGAAGAAATTCCGTGAATTGAAGGCATTTGTTGTAAACTGAGATTTTTAGTGGTGCA